GGGGCAGAGGCTTAACACAGCTATTAAAAGCAGCTATTCACCACTGAAGTCCAGGTAACAGACCTGTCATCCTGACGTACAAATATGGCGGCTGTGCCTGCGCACGATGGGCGTGAGGTAGGACTCAGAGGCCCAGTGGCATTCTCAAAAATGTGTTGTTGAGAGTCCGGGACCTCGTGTTCCTGGCTCAGAGGCTGCATCATTGCTGAATGAAAGAAATCGCCCGCTCTCCGTCAAGACGCCTCCTGTATATCGTTATTGGTCAAATAGGTCTCAAAGAAATTGAACAAGTTATTTTGCCCTTCTTTAAAGTAGCCTGAGCATCATGACAATTTTCGATAGATGCCTTTTCAGAAAACGTCTCCCGGATCTTTTTAGGGGTGAAGCTAACAGGCTGCTAATCTGCTAAGAGTACCCTGTCAGCCTCTATCCATGCTCCCGGCAGTTCCCCCTTAGGTCATTTCTTGTCTGTCAGTCGCTGGTGGAAGAGACGCTCACGGCAGGAGATGACACTATTATACAAGTAAGCAAAGTAGTTCTGATGTTTTTGAAGGAACCAGTGAGAACCTGAAACCCGTATTTTGATTTACGACAGGACCAGAGAGGACCAGAAATCGAAGTGCGGCGTTTGCAAAACAACCAGTGGGATCCAGGAGCCACGGGTGGTGCAGCACGGGGAGGAGGGCAGAGCCCAGAGGGGGTAGTTATCCCCTGTCGGCAGGCAGGTGGCAAGAGAATGTTGTTGCCTCTCCCCCCCCCCCAAGCTATTTAACATGAACGATTGTTTGCATGACAATTCCGGACTTGGTACTCTTCGGAACTGCTGGATCCCTGCGCATAGTACAGGCTGAATCCTGGTCCTTTCCAAATTTCTTGACTTGCCGTCAAACTTGTCCTGATGTTCACCACTTTTTCAGCACCATTCAATGTTAAATCCTGATTATTGATGGGATCTCTGGTTTGATACCAAAAATGTTCCAAGGTTGTCTTCCGGAACCTCAAGACCAGGCGTTGCAGTCTCCATAGGCCGCGCAGCGTCGCGTCCACGAGTAACACTAGCCTGTGGCTAGCGGATTGACGATAATGATGACACATTCATAAGAAGAACATTTAACTCATAAGGACATCAGATCGTACATTTAGATGACAGTGTGGGGGCATATTTCATCTGTGCTATTTTTTAGATTGACGAGAAGCACGGAGGTAGTGCTGAAATATGGTGGTGGACTGGAACAGTAAAGATAGAATCTGTATTTTTCGTGCTGATGTAACTATCAATCTGTTCCGAGTACACACTCAAAGACGTGAAAAAGTTCACCCGGTCTTATCTGTAACGGTACGAATTAATTGAAAAGATATTCAGAACCATTTTATGGACGGTCGTCCTCGCGCACGGCGCCCGCCGCTTGGGGTGCTTGCGGCGGCCAACGCCGCTCGGTTTTACGAAAACAGCAACCCAGGCCATCGCCGTCCTTGCTCCTGGGATTGCGGGCGCACAGACTCAAGCCTTTAATGCCGTAATTTGTTTCACTTGTTGATTCTGCAAAGTAATGCAACTTCTCAAACAAACATGAGATGGCCTTGTTCATTCTTTTCATCACTTCGACCCGCTCAGTTTAACGCTAATGAGACCCCTTATTTTCCAGGTGGAGCCCCTTGAGTAGAACACTAGGAGCCTATTATTGCTCCCGGTTAAGGGCAGAAGGGTCAGTCCGTCCCAACGCGGGTTGTCTTCCGGCTGCCATTCTGGTGACAAGGGGCGGAATCCCCTGGCCGATCCGGAGACCCCTAGAGGGAACATCATAGCATGTTGGTTTCCTCCCTGACGCAGAAGGCCTTCTGACTCGCGCAGTTGACCCTGGATCAACGCAGGAACCTTCATTGACGCAACAACATTCCTGATCGCCGCAGGTGGTCCAATTAAAGACGCATAGACTCCAATTGGGCCTAACGAGCCATGCTGGAGCTGAGTTAGAGAGTCCACCGTTTGGTAATGGGGCCATGACTGACACAGGGCCCTTTTTCCATCGTCCTTAATTTGAGCACCCAACATAAGTTCTCGTTTTTCCTTCATTGTCCGAGGACCCCGTTGATACAAGGGTTCCAGCCATCGTAAATTGGGGGACCGCCCATGTCCCTGCTTGAGAATTGGGCCCCCATATCTCAGACCGACAAGGAGCCGACTGTTCGGTGTTGGTGGTCTCTAGCCGAAACAGATGACCGCTCTGTCTCAGGGATCCCAATCAGTATAAGAGGCCCTCTAACTGACGTTTGAGATCACAGCCCAGCGGCAAGGGGTCTTAATGTGACCTACAGGCAACCTTTTGTGCCCTTCAGCCCTCCAATCGAGCCCTTTATCTTTGGTCTTAAGAGACCTTTTGGCCCCCTTCCGGCCCCCCTCAATGCCTCTCCTGGCCGACACGAGGCCACTTGCCGCCATGGGACCCTTCTTAAGGCCCCTGAACGACACATGAGCCCCTCATTGTGCCAGGCACCCCGAAAATTACAAATCGCAGACCCGGCCCCGTTCCTACTTGGAAAATGGGTCTCAAGGGCTCAGATGGACTCGAGGGGGGGGGGGGGGAGGGATCCAAGTCCAATCGGGCCCTTGATCTTTGTTCCCAAGGTGCCCTTCGGCCCATCTTGGGACCTCCTCAAACAAAGCCCGTGACCGACTGGGAGCCACTAGCTGATACATGATCTCCCGTTACGCACTGTTGGCCCCTGACCCGCACAGGGTCCCCGACCACCACTTCAGTGACCCAGACTAGTGCAAGTCGTGGCCCCGGCCTTCCTTCTGCTTGGGAAAGGAGCCCAAGGGATCAGACTGACAGGGAGCCAACTGTTCGGTGTTCGTGGTCTCTGGCCGACTTAGACACCGCATTGCCTCAGGAGTCCTCGCCTTTTTGTGACCCACAGCCAGTCCTTCGGGCTGGCTGTGGGTCCTGGTTACAGGGCTTTCTATACCCTCCAACCGGGTCTTTAATAGTCGGTTCCGTTGGTCCGCCCGGACCCCTCCCCCCCCCCCCTCTTCTGGTCTCGTCGAATGCCTCCTTGGTCGGCTAGGGCCCCTTTCGAGCACAGAACCCCCCTGTTAGGCACTCTGGGCCCCGACAGATACAGAGGCCTGGCCAGTGAAAATCGCTGGCCCCGAGTTTTGTAGCTGATTGGGAAGTGAACCCTCAGGTCCATACCGTATCGGGAGCACATTTTGTGCACACTTGGAACACCCAGTTTATAAACTTTAAACAAAGTGTAGCAAAGAGAAGATATCATACCACCATTAATACCATAGTACCAGTGTAGCAAAGAGAAGATACCATAGTACTGAACGTTCAGCGTTCTCTGCGCAGCCGTCCCGCGGCCGTCTTGTGGAAAAACCGTAGCATACCCTCAGAAACGTGCTGGATAGTAGGTGGGCGAGCACTCAAGGTATCCCCTGGCGTCATTACCAATCAAAACTGCTTTCAGGTGTGCGTATCATAGCAACTTCCAAGTGCGGAATGATAGAAAAACTTCACGACATTACTAAGATCTAGAAGGGGAAACGTCGTTACAATGTACGGCTAGACCGACTTAAAGAGCATTTAAGCGTTCAAGCATTTAAGCATTTAACGGGTAAACGTGGGCAACAATGCTCCGTTCCCGCAGCCCATTCTTTGATGGATGGTGCAGTAGCAACACATTGAGCTTTTCCAGCCAAACCAGATGCTACGTAACCAGGGGAACTGCATTTTTCGTTTCCCATGCATCATACTCATCGGGTCGGTCGTACGCTTCCCAATGGCAAAAACTGACCATAACCGTCAAAACTTCCTCTCAACGATTGAAACACTCGATTACTTCTTCCCTTTCTTTAACTAATGCACCAATTGCCCGGACGAAACTCCTAACCATACGCAATTGGAGCTTCCGTGTGGCCGATTGCAGGAATCAAAATAAATAAGATGACCAATACCGCACGATCAAAAACTATGCTCTATGCGCAGAACTGCGCGAGCCGCCGCAAACCACAGTACGCCTGATGATGTTGGTTTGCGTTAAAGAGGAGTCGAATTGCTTTGTCCTAGCATCACGATCAACCTAAGGCTGACACCACAAGCATCTGCGCCACCTGACAGAGTCGCAGGATAGTCTCTTACCTCGCATCCATCCGGCGCGGGATTCTTTAACACAACCAAAACAATGCATTTGCATCAGGCACTGAAGTGAATAATTTTTTGGTTTCCTGTAGGATTAAGTTGACAAATTAACACCAGTTTTACAAGTCACCGATACAAACATCATTCGTAAAGCTCGTCCTGCCGCACACCTGTCAGAAACCGCTCCGCTGTACCTACGGACCGTGATCAAGTCTGACGTTGACGCAGCTGAAATGTTCCCGGCTCATGCGAGTACACAGCGAGATTCGCGAATTATGGGATCTGTCTTCCCGGGAGTCTCTTCTAACCTTTCGTGTCCTTGCCCACTGGCCTCTCTACCACAGATTCTTTCCGTCAAGAACTCCAAACTCAAGCAAGACGAATCCGAACTCGCATGAGCTTTTAATGTTCCCATGCCCACGTAAGGCGAGGTACGTACGGTGTATATGCATGGCTTATGTTTGTTGACCATGCTGGACATGGAAACACTGAGTATGAACATTCTCCGAGCTACACCACGCATTCACTATCACAGCGTCAGAGTGATACACAAATCAATTACCATTCCACCTTCCAGATACCTCTTGCAACAAAAAATTACCCCATCCGTATTCTGGACACGCACTTTGTCACGCCTGGCAGTCGGGGCGGCACGCTGAACACAGCGCAGCACAGCCCCCATTACGATGCCACCCTACCGCCAGCAGGCCACCAGGGTCCTGGGCTAACATCAATCCACCTGAGCGTGGCGCGCACGGGCGCGCGCCACTGCACGCAGCCACCACATCCGCAAGCGCGCCTCCTTCTGCCGCCGGCCGCGCCACACCCCACACCGCCGTCCGGCCGAGACGAGCGCGGCTACGGCACAGGGCCATCGCCGCCGGCGCTGGGCGGCGGCGCCGGCGCGCCGATGATGCCGTTCACCAGGTGGCAGTCCTCCTGGCCGGCCGGGATGCTGATGCCGCCGCGGTCCTCCGCCGGCGCATCCGGCGCGATCGTGAACACGTACTCGTGGCGCACGGGCGGCGCGGCCGCCGGCGGCGGCGCCGGTTCCGCCGGCTGGTCGCCGAAGCCGGCCAGCGCGTCCGACGAGGCACCGTCGCCGGCGGCGGCCGGGTCGTCCTCGTCGTCGTCGCTGGCGGCGATCAGGCCCTTCTGGTGGTCGCTCACGTGCAGGCCGTACGTGATCTCGTTGACGGTGCAGAAGTTGCAGAGGTGGCAGCGGAACACGCCCCTGCCGCCGTGCCGGTTGATCACGTGCGACTTGATGGCCGACGACTGGATGCACTGGTAGTCGCAGTGCGGGCACCGGTACGGCCGGACGCCGCTGTGGCGCATCTGCAGAGAAAGGCAGCTCAGCACGCGACACACCACAGCGGCGCGCTCACACACAGCCAGACCGGACAGATAGAGAATACTGCCGACTTCTTGACCGCGGTTCCGATACCTCACGTCATCGCAGGCACGTAATGGCTCATGCCGGTCGATTCAGATCAGCCTCTGGATGCATCCGCAATCAGGTATGAAGATGCGCACAGCATGTTCACGTGACTTTAGGCGTGAATGAGGTAATCCGGCTAAGCGACCGTCCATGAGCCATGTTGTGCATTTTGACAAATATTCAGCTATCTTTGACTCATCCGCCTTTTTAATGATCTTCACCCATGGTTATGCTCAGGATACCCCGGAATGAAAACCCTGTCCCTGGTTACGTTACGTGAAGCGTAACGTCACGAAAAGTAACAATCCGTTTGGTCCCTAAATGAGCTAGAGGTGTGAAACACGTAGAAGGAGTGTTGCTTGCCATGAGATGAAGCCAACGGAATACTCTTTTAAGGTTTAAAAATGTTTTCTTTTTGAATGGCATGCTTTGCAGCCACGCCTGAGATTAGTGTTACAATGTTCAATCCATCCTTGTTACGATTCGATTGCGCTCCATGGAAAAACCTCACAGTCCATGCGTAAGGTAATTTATGGGCGGCTCCATTAACCGTCACAACCATTACCAGATGTAGATTTAGATCATGAAATCATATAAGTAACCTGATAACAGATTCATTACAGTGCAATGCTTAATTCCGACAAGCACAGCTTGCTCCAAGTTCACACACCGAGCTTTCCGCACTTCTTTGCAAGCCAAGCACTGCTCTGAACGCTCATAAAACTGTCACATGAACGGAGCGCCGTCCACGAGCCCGGCGGTCGGGTTCACCTTATGCCGACGGAAGCTGCTGGGGTCTCGCGTCTTGTAGTCGCAGGTCGGCTCCGGACACACGAACGGCGTCTCGCCACTGTGCCCGCGCATGTGCAGCTGCAGCAGCGCCTTGGTGGCCGACGTGTGGCTGCAGACGCGGCAGCAGAAGCTGCGCACCTTGTCGTGCAGGATGCGCTGGTGGATCTTGAGCGTCTTCACCGAGGAAAACATCTTGGAGCAGGTGGGGCAGACGTGCGGCCTGAACCACTTGGGCACGGCTAGCCGCGAGCCGTCCGAGTGCACCACGCGGTGGTTCAGCAGCTGCGACATCTGGCGGAAGCCCTTGTTGCACTCGGTGCAGACGAAGCGGCGCTCGCTGACGTGCAGCAGCCGGTGGTTCTCCAGGTTGCTGAAGAGCGCGCTCTTGAAGTGACACTTGTCGCAGGCGTACAGGTCCAGGTCGACGCCGTGCTGCCGCCACATGTGGGTCATCACGCGCACCCAGCTGCCAGTGGCGAACTCGGCGCACTGGCAGCACTTAAACGACTTGACGTCCTCGTGGCACTTCTCGTGCACGCTGCGGTACTGCTCGCAGGTGAAGCGCAGCGAACACTTGTCGACACGGCACTGGAACCGCTTGTCGTGGCGCAGCTTCTGCGGCGGCCGGCGCTCGCGCTTCTTCTTGGGCTCGGGTGCGCCGGCCCGCCGGCGCCCGGTCGGCGGCTGCCGGCCGCTGCCGCGCCAGGTGCTGCCGTCGCATGTGCAGCTTGCACTCCCGCAGTGTCTCTGACACGTGGCCGCACTCGCTGCACAGGAAGACCTGCTTGTCGTCGCTCTGCAGCGGCCGGTCCAGCAGCGCCGGCTGCGGCGGCTGTTGTGACTGCGGCGGCGGTGGCGGCGGCGGCGGCGGCGGTGCCGGCTGCTGCTGCTGCGGCGGCGGCGTCAGCGGCGACGGCGCTGGCTCGTCCGCCTGGCAGTGGCGCAGCTCGATGTGGTCGGTGATGGCCGCGTGCGAGCTCTGCAGCGATTGGCAGATGCGGCAGCGGAACGCCGTCACTTGGTCGTACAACAGCTCCAGTGGTACAGAGAAGTCTAGCTGCAGCTGGCTGGGGTCCTGCAGCAGGGCCAGCTCGGGGTCGGCACCGCCCGCCGCCTCCAGCGTGGAGCCGGCGCCGGCGCCGTCCAGAGCCTCGGTTAGCCAGCTCTCCATGGTGGCCGTGTCAATGCTGGGTTACTGAAAGTGACAGAATGGAACACACTGTTAAGAATGGCAGTTACCTGTGCTTGATCCCCATGTAGTCATCTAAACAGGTGGCACCTATGGAGATCTTGGTGAAGAAAATGTAAGCCCACAGGACAATTTTTATGATTAACTGCTGATAACAGCATTAACTCTGCAAAAATATATTACAGACAGCCACATCGCTGAGTTCAAACCAGTTGCCAGAATTGGGATGCCTGCTAACAGTCCGAGTCAATCACCGTCACAGAGCAATGTGAGTTGATCAGAATTAATCTGCTGGAATGGAGTCAACCAGAAGTCTTCCCTCAGTCAATTATAAAAAGCAAAATGTCTGAACAGATCTAAACAGAATGGTCATAGTTGTATAACCAATTGAATCCCTTGCATACACACATTTCCCCTAGCTGCAGCACATAACTTTTCCAGCATGCATGCTATGTGCAAAAATGGGAATTGTCTGACAGCAAGGTGACAATAGTGACAGGGCAGATACGACCTCACATTTATTATGTTTGCAATCAGCTTGCGGTTGAATGTCATATAACTTTAGCACCCAAATCTATACCAAAATTTGTGTTATGCACCATAGGCACTCTGTGCAAGCCCATGATGACAGCATCTCATAAAATATAGAACAATTTTATCTTGACTTCATTCATCATCTATCAGCCCTCTGCATGCATAAGTTAGATGGCCACATAACCTATGGATGATAGGAAAGGTGACCAGACCTCAAGACCAGCCCACTGCACTGAAACTTCCCACTTATTTGTGTCTTGCACTCTGAACAGTGGGACATAACAGCCTACCCTGCATTGTATCTGGTACTCATAAGTGTAGTCTGCTCCAATAATATCACAGCATCCAATGGCAGACTCAAAAGTGTTTACAAACCTTCAAATATATTCCTCAGTCCAAGCCATAGAAATCCCCATTGATAAGGTGCAATAAACAAGTTCTGAGCCTTTCAAAGTATCAAAGTATCAATCCACGGACAGTGAAGCTAAGCATGTACATTATTTGGCTAGGCATGTACATAGTTTGGCCAGGCATGTACATACTTATGTTTGCACATGATTGGAGCTTGACAACAGCAGTACACAAAGCCCACCCTGCAAGAGGCCTATCTACTACATTGAATGCCTACACAACATGCATCAATGCACTGATCTTCAGGTAGGCCAAATCATGGCAGACATCACATGTTTTTGTGCAGAAATGCTACCAAAATATTTTTACCCAAAATTCCCTTTGATCAGAGTATCAGAATTTCTAGAAACATTTCCTCTCCATGATACCCTCTGACATAAGTGCTAACTGTGTGCCAAACTTCCAAAAGCTTCAATTTACAGCATGTTTTATGTGCTTCAACTGTTGCTAACATGCTGCTGACATGGAGGACATCATTTCAAGGGATTTGAAGGCTGAAAAGCAATGTGGGGCTGCTAGGAGCAATGCATTTTAGATGCCAGGATTCATAACAGGAACACCCACTGCATGAGAAGGGACATTGTCAAAAAAAAAAACTGTACATAGCTTATATCAGACCACACCTATAACATTGTGTATGGCTTGGTCCCCACACTTCCAAAAAGATAAGGATATGCTGGAAAGAGTACAGCGGAACACAACGATAATGATAAATGGGATTAACAATTCAAAGTGTAAGGATATCAAACACCTTGCTATAGGGTACGTCTTTACAGCTGGATCAAAGCATCTACTGTCCAGCGTAAGCCCAACTTTCCCGCTTCCATCCCTTCCAACCCCTATTGACGGGTAGCATACTATTTTATCCATTCAGCGATCTAAGGCAACAAACAAAACCAGGCTTACCCCACGTGTAAGCGACAACAAATATTACAACTTCCTTTCAATCCCAGTCAGCCCATTACCATCCCCTGCCTACGCACAGGGGCCAAAACAACCTACGCCGGCACGGGCAATTAACAAGATGAATGAATGCCACCTGCGCGTCAGTTTACCACGCACAATTTGGAGGTGGACGTCGTGATTAATATTTCTATTTGGGGGTGGGTGGAATGACCATCTGTCAGCAAACCATGCCAAAGGCACTGACTTGCTATTTGGGAGAAGCAGGAAGAACTGTGCCCATAAAAAGCCAGTAGTCTCCTGTGGAGCAAGTAATTGCTTACCTTACTTGCTTTCAATACACGATAGTTGTTGTAGCGATTTCAACCTTACCTTGCAACATTGTTAGCAACTTACCTGCGTTAACAACTGCAACAAAGTAGCAGTTGTTAACGCAGGTGCGTTAACAACTGCGCGTACACTGCCGGTGCGTCACGCTGCCTGCACCCGGTGCGCAGGCTCAAACAATTTTATGGCATTTGTTTCACTAGTCGCCTCTACCAAAATAACGAACGTTCTCAAGGAAACATGGGATGGCCTTGTGCGTTTTGAACTCATTTCGACCCACTTGACTCCAGCTAGTCTTTTATGCCCCTATACCCTCCAATTGGCCCATTGATCGTCGGACTCGGTGGGCCATATAGGCTCTTCCGGCGTCCTCGAACACTGCCTCTGGCCGACTGGGGCCCCTTGGCAACCCTGTTAGGCGCTGTCGGACCCCGAGCAATGTAAATCGCTGGCTCCGGCTTTGTCCGTACTTGGGAAATGGCCCCTTATGCGTAGGCGTAGAAACGTTTCAAAAAGAGGGGGGAAGGCTTAGGGTATGCTTCAGGAACTTTTTCTGTGAAGCAAGCCCGTTGACCGAGGGGACAGAGACGGAGACTATTGTCCGCTCTGAATTCACATAAGATTTTTAAAACATTTAAATGTCATTGCTGGCTAGATGTACACCTACAGCCGTTTCTCACTGGTGCGCAATCTTGACTATTCGACTCATCTATGCCATTTGGCAAAGAAGGCTACCCAGCTGCCCACGATTATTCGTCCATTTCAACATTATTTTCCCAGGGGACCCGAAATACCACGAGCGTGTAGGCATTTTGAGTCATTGAGGAAGCATCTACCTCCACAGGGTAGATACCAAAATACGACCTCGACATAAGTTGGTCAAAATGTTGAATGCGAATCGACGATCCACAGTGCGCCTGATTTTCATGCGCCTAGATTTCGCGAGCTACGTTACCAGAGATAGGATTTGTTGCAGCATTTTAGGCGGAAAGAAATTCGAAAGCTTGAAATGTTAACTGTCAAAAACAGAGTGACAAAAACCACAAAACTGGAGTTTTTTTCTAAAAAAGCCATAAAATGAAGGCTCTTCTGTCATAAATTCCTTGTCTAAAACCTGCTCCCGTCCGCCGTCAATAGCCAGTTCTCCAGCCCGGCAGTCCCCCCCCCCATCCCCCCAGGGCCGACCGCAAACCACCCACATGGCCGCCCTGCTGCATGTGCGAGTACCGAATACAGCGCGCGAGTAGTAGTGTCTAGTCCGAACGGTAGATGGCAGAGCGTCTCGCGGGCACAGAAATACAGTCTAGTTCCGACCGCCGGCTCGTGTGCACCTTCGCGGAGACAGACTCGAATACTGCCTATTTATGGATTAGCATTACTACTTATGAGTATGCAAAACATTTGCTAGACACCCGCAGCATTATCTTTTTCTGAACTATCTTCCCTTACACCACACCACCGCAGAAAAGCTTTCGGGAAGCTGCCTGCCTTAGGCACGAATTGTTCCAACGGACACCCAATTGCCGGCTTGATCTCCTTTTGTATGCAAGCAGAAAATTATGACGTTTCTGGAAGAAGTACCTTTGAACATTTCAATCGATTGGTGATACAACTTACGTACCGCAGTTTTGAGCATGCGCGCACGCAAATTTTAGCAACAAATAGGAATTAGGGGGATCATTGGTCCCCTACCCCCTCCATTCCTGCACCTTAGGCACTGCCGCCACGGAGCCGACCGTGCGTTACTGGTGGCATCTGACCGAAATATAGGCCCCTATCGACTCTGGGCCTGTGATCAGCGCGATGCCCGTGAAGTTAGCGATTTCGTCAGCGATTTTTTTCAGCGACGAGTTCCGATTTCTCTGAAAAAGGGTCTCAAGGTCAACTGTGGCATGATAGCACCAGAATGACCGTTGTTTTGCAATTACGTGTGTCCTTCAAGGTCAAAAGCTGGGTCAAAGGACGGGGAGTTCGATATCATGTAAAAACTATCAGTCAGTTTGAAAACTGTGAGCATCAAAATATTCAAAATATACATATAATAAAGCGCAAGAGCTAGCGTCCGTCAAAAAGTTCTGACCTCTCAAGGTCACCCTTCAAGGTCAAACGCCGGCTCCAGGGGCGGCGAACTCCATGTGGCCCAAAAATTACCGACCGATTTTAAACTAGCAAGCATCAGAATATTCATCCTGGAAAGAGCTAGCGTCCGTGAAAAATTTTTGGCCTCTCAAGGTCATTGTTCAGGGTCACACATGGGCTCAAAGAACAAGAAACTTAATATAACCCGAAAATTACCGCTCGATTTTCAACTTGCGAAGGTCAGAATTATCCCCACAACGGCAAATAGCGTCTACGCTATTTCCGTCCGCTATTTATGTAACGTCCGGAAAATGTCCTGACCTCTCAAGATCATTCTTCAAGGTCAAACGTGGGCTCAAAACACAGATAACTTAAAATCACTCAAAAACGACCGGCCGATTTGAAGCTTTCAACCGTAAGAACATGCACCACAAGAAGAAATGACGTCCGCGAAAAAGTCCTGACCTCTCAACGTCATTTTTCAAGGTCAAACGCAGGCTCAAAGGATGCGGATGCTAGTTTCTTCTGTGGTGAATATTCTGATCTTGGTAAATCGAAAATCGGTCGGTAATTTTTGTGTTATGTCAAGTTGCCCATGCTTTGAGTCCGTGTTTGACCTTGAAGGATGACCTTGAGATGTCAGAACTGTTTGACGGACGTTAGCTCCTGAGCCTGTGAATACTTTGATGCTTATAGTTTTCAAATTGGCCGGCAATTTTTGGATGATATCGAGCTCCCCGTCCTTTTAATCTGAGTTTGACCTTAGAATGGTAACCTTGAGAGGTCAGGACTTTTTGACGGACGCTACCTCTTTCTGTGTTGAATATTCTGATGTTTGTAAGTTAAAAATCGGTCAATAATTTTTGGGTGATATGGAGTTCCCCGTCCTTGGAGTCCGTGTTTACCTTGAAATGTGACATCGAGAGGTCAGTACTAATTTACGGACGCTAGTTATTTCTGCGGTGAATATTCCAATGTTTGTAAGTATGGAATCGACCGGTAATTTTTCGGTAATATGAAGCTTCCCCGTCTTTCGAGCCCTTGTTTGACCTTGAGGTGTGACCTTGAGAGGTCAGGGACTTTTCGAAGGGACGCTCGCTTTTTCGGTGGTGAATATTCTGATGTTTGAAAGTTTAAAATCAGTCGGTATTTTTGAGGTGATATAGAGCTTACCGTCCTTTGAACCGCGTTTGACCTTGAAGAGTAACCTTGAGAGACCGGGACATTTTGACGGACGGTAGTTCTTTCTGTGGGAAATATGCTGATGTGTAGAAGTTTGAAATAGGCCGGTAATTTTTGAGTGGTATGGAGTTCCCCGTTCTTTGAGCTGGCGTTTGACCTTGAAGGGTGACTTTGAGTAGCCAGAATTTCTTGATGGACGCTAGCTCTTGCGCTTGTAAATATTTTGATGCTCACAGTTTTCAACTCTACCGGTAGTTTTTGGGTGATATCGAGTTTACCGTCCTTTGAACCAGCTTTTAACCTTGAAAGTCATATGGTATTGCAAAATATGGGTCGTTTTGGTGTTCTCATGCCACAGTTGACCTTGAGACTCTTTTTCAGAGAAATTGCAACTCATCGCTAAAAAAACGGTGAATAAATCGCTAACTTTACGGGCATATCAGGCGCGCAAGGCCCTCTGGCTCGCATTTAGAAACCCGTCCCTACGGAAGGTCAACCCGTCCTTACGGGGCCCCCGAATAAGACTTCTGGCTGGCTTTTCAGGCATTCCGGGCCCTCAAATAAGTTAAAATTGTACTAGAGGGACTCGAACACCCGACGAGAGAGCTGTTTTAGCATCTTGTAATGTATGCTGTCGGGACCTTCCGTTCAGCAGCGCAGGCAGGGGTGCAGGGGCATGTGCCCTCGGTACCCCCTGCCGGCGCTGCTGAGCGGAAGGTCTCGATGACATGCGTCACGATGCGCTAAAACAACTCTCTCGTCGGGCGTTCGGGACCCTCCTGTACAGTTTTAGCTTATTATGGAAAAGGGCATAAGAACATGGAAAACGACATTTATTTTGCAATGTCATATGGCCGTCAAGGTCAAAAGCAAGTCCAGAGGAGGGAAATTCCATACCACCAAAAATGCCAGCCAATTTGAAAGTTGCAAACATCAAAATATTCACTTGCAAAAGAATTAACATCCGTCAAAAAGTCCTGACCTCTCTAGGCCACCCTCTAAGGTCAAAATTAGACTTAAAGGACGGGAAACTCTATATCACCAAAAAAATTACCAGCCAGTTTAAACTTGAAAGCACCAGACTATTCGCCACAGAAAGAAATAGCGTCCGTCAAAAGCTGACGACCTCTCACTGTCACGCTTCAAGGTCAAGGTCAAACTCAAAGGAGAGGCAGTCCCTGCCACCGAAAAGATTGCCGTCTGATTTCGACTCGAAGCGTTGGAATATTCACCAGCGCCAGAACTAATGTTCGTCGAAAGTCATGCCCTTTCATGGTCAACCTGAAGGTGAAATTCAGGCTGGTCTCTGGATGACTTCCACTTAATGTTTTGTGGTGGTGATTTAGGTTCGTCGGTTGAGTTAACCGTTTCTCGGTGTACAGTGCTTTTGAATGTTTGTCCGTGACCAGCCGTGATTTTATGAGATTTGACAAACATACCTCAACGAGAAGGGGCTGTAAATATGTTGGTGAGTGCAGGCGCGCAGCGAGAGCCTTGACAAGGGGGGGGGGGGGGCAGCGGGTTGACAAAGGCCCCCCTGATCGTGAAAAGAGCTCCCGAAAAAACGCCGGATATAGCCTATTTGTTAATGAGGCGTGCTTCCCACTTATACTCTTCATTACTTACTTCTATATCTGGGATTGAAGCCGGACGCTACCGCGAAATAAAGTTTGACTCATTTCTGTAGTCAATAAACTGAAGAAATCACGTGTTAAACGGTTGCGAATGCTGACTGAACAGCCTGGGAATGCTGATTGTAGATCGAAATGGCTCAACGACTTGTATAACTTGGCCAAACCCCGTTTGCCTGCAAATGTTCAGCATTAATTCAGAATCGACCAGTGGTACAAATCACGTCGGTAGTTTTGAACTTGCGCACTCGCAAATCTTAATAAACAAGAGCCCCGACGCCCGGCGCTGCAGTCTCCGTAGGCTGCGCATCGTCGGCCCTTTGGCTGACACTGACCCGTGGCCAACGGATGGACAAAAATGATGACGGATCTGAAAGAAGTACCTTTAAACGCTTCAGGACATCAGATCACATATTTAAAAGGTAATCCGGGCGTCTATTTCACCAGTGCTGTCTTTAGATTGATGTTATGAACGGATTGGCATTTGCAGCACGGGGGGTGGTGCTGGATGGAATCTGGTGGTGGAACTGGACGGGTAAAGGTAGAATGTCTATTTTTTATATTGCTGTAACTGTTCATCTGTGCAGAAGAAAACCTCAAAGTTATGATAATGATACGCCCGGTCCAAACTTTGAATGGTACGATTAATTTTGAAAGACTTTCAAACCATTATTTCACAACGGTCGTCCTTGCTCGCACGGCTTTTGCTCCCTGGTGTTACTTGCAGTGGCCAACGCCGTTCATTTTTACGGAAACGGCAATCTAGGCCATCTCTGTCATGGCTCCCGAGATTGCGGGCGCGCAGACTCAAATGTTTTCATGTAATTTGTTTCGCTGATCGACTCTACAAAAGAAGGAACGTCTACAGGCAAACATGGGTCGTCTTGTTCACTCCGATCCAGTCTTTTCAACACTGATAGGACCACTATTTTTTTTTGCGGGCAAGGGGGCCTTTCGAGCAGGACACTAGGGAACGCCTTACTGTTCCCGATCAGGAGCTGAAGGGCCATGCCATTCCACCGCGGTGTGTCTTGCTGCTGCCATTCTGCCGACATGGGGCGGAATTCCCTGGTCGATCCGGAGGCCCTTAGAGGGATACATCATATCACATTGGCCCCTTCCTGACGCGGAAATCCTTCTGACCCGCGCGGCTGGCCCCGGGTCGACGCAGGAACCCTCATTGGCGCAACAACATCCCTGATCGGCGCAGGTGGTACAATCATTGGCACGCAGACTCCAGTTCGGTTGAACGGGCCCACGCTGGAATTAGGCTGGATAACCCACCGTTCCGCACTCGGGGCCTTGACTGTGACAGTGCCCTTCCATTGCCTCGTTGTTTATTTCTTTAATTTTATTTTTTATGTCATTTTCTTTTTTAGTTAATTATTATATCAATCATATATTTTAATTAATTAATTTACTAGTTAATAATTGCTAATTTGATTAATCTCATAAGTTAAAATGCCTCCGTTCATTGCCAGAGGGTCCGACTAACGCAAGAGGTCCTCTGTCATTCGGGGTCCGGTCCCCATCCCTGTTGAACAAATGCTCCCCTGGCCGACTCGAGGCCCCTTGTTGACACAGAATACCCTGTCAGGCAACGGGCTCTTGACCGATACAGGAGCCGAGCGTTGTTGCAGGGGCCCCGACCGAGGCAAATCGTCGGCTCGGCCTTGTCCCTGGTTGGGAAGTGGGCCCTAAGAGATCAGAACTGGTCAGGAGCCGACTGTTCGGTATTGGTGACCTTTGGCCGAAGTAGAGCGACGCTCTGTGTCAGGGTTTCTCAGTCGGCACAAGAGGCCCCCTTGCTGAAATTTGAGATCACGATCCTGCGGGTGGGGACCTTTCGACCGTCCTTCCGTCTTTCAGGTAGCCCACAGTCAGCCCCTCGGGCCCTTCAGCCTTTCAATTGGGCCATTGATATTTGATCTTAAGACCCTTCGCTCCCCTCCGGACCTGCTCAAACAATGCCCGTAATCGACGTGGGGCCTCTAGCCAGGACATGGTTCCCTTTTAGGCACTGTGGGCCCTTGACCGACATGGGGGGCCCAACCATTGGTTCAGGGACCCACACCAATGCAAATCGCGGCCCCCGACCTCGTTCCTGCTTAGGAAATGGGGCCCCGGGAGACACCCGCGTTGTCTCAGGGGTCCTCAAATGTGCAAGAGGACCCCTGACTGATATGTCAAGTTACCACCCTACGGGCCACGATTCTTTATGTGACCTACAGCCAGTTCTCCAGGCCCTCAACCGAGTCGTTGATCGTCGTTTCAGGTGGGCCGCTCGGGCCTCTCTTCAGGCCTCATCGAACACTGCCATTGGTCGGCTCGGTCCCCTCGCGAACACAAGACCCTGTGTTAGACTCTCTGGCCCCTGATAGATACAGGGTCCCCGATCAGTGTAAATTGCTGGCCCGGCTTTGTGGCTGACTGGGAAATTGGCCCCTAGGCCCATACTGGCACGAAGCCAGCTATGCGGTACTCGTGATGCCTTGCCAATGTATAGGCCATATCGACACAGAGGGTCCTTCGATTGGGACACAAATTGTTCCGACTGTCATTGAAGGGCCCGCTCCCGCATGCCGGGATCCTTGCAAAAGACTCCGACCAGCCCTTTGCGCCCCTAAGTCCTCCAATCTGGTCCCTGATCGCCAGTCCCGGTAAGCCCTCCATGCTCTTCGGGCCTCCTCGAACGCTTCCTCTAGCCGACTTTGGGGCCTTTACCAACACAGGGCCCCTGTTAGGCGCTGCGGGGCCTTGACAGACGCTGGGGCCCTAACTAAGGTAAACCGCTGGCTCCTCCCTTGTCCCTGCTTGGAGAATAGGCCCTCAAACCCTCGCCGACATGGAGCCGACTGTGTGTTGTGGCTGGTGTCTAACCGACATATGGGCCCTGTACGACTCAGGGGACCCCTGGTCAGCGCGCATGGCCCTCTGGCTGAGATTGGAGCGCCCGGCTTTGCGGGTCAGGTCTCTGAATACGACCCCCGGTCGGCCTTCGGGCCCTTCGGGCTCTCAAATTGGGATGGGGGGCACGTGCCCTCTGTGCCCGCTGCCTTCGGTTCTGATAGTATATATATATATATATATATATATATATATATATATATATATATATATATATATATATATGTGCGTGTGCATTATGTATAGCCAGAACATAAGGCGCAAAATCCGGGAAGCTTTTGGACCTTTCTCCCTGACAACTTTCACGAATCTGGCCTCTCCCAATAATTTTAAGAAATCGACACCGATGTCGCTGGGCTTGCATCGCACAAGCCACCTCACGAGAACAAAATTAATGTGAGAAGTGCATTGATCAGCCTACGAGTCGGATGAAATCAAGTGCACAACTCGGCACGTACAAACTCCCGCAGATCCGATATCAATACACATATGTGAGCCACAGCGTTGGAATGAACCGGGTGACCGATGAATATACAGGATCGTAGGGCCGTTCAGACACCACGTACGGCTGCTTCTCCGAGCACTGTTGTGGACACTTGATCCTGATATTCCACCTTCACCGTTTCGCTGATAATAATATTCAACCAGGGCAAAAACGGAGTCAAATTAACCGTGGCTCGGCCCTCGGAGAACGACAGTATGACAGCAGCAGCGGCATGACCGCGTGAGCATTGAAGCAACTTGCGCGCGCGAGATGCAACCTTGTGCGCTTAATGTCATTGTCAGAGCATTCCCGGCTGGCAATGTGGATCTCGCGTCGGCCGAAACTTGTCTTCTTCAAATCATCCCCTGACAGTGCATCCCTTGACGGCATGACCACCGGCTGCCAGGCCACCTGGTCCGTCAGTTATGTGTGTGGACGCGTGCGTGCCGTGTTTGCGACTGGCGCGGCAGGAGTGGTCGCTCGGGGAACAGTAGTGATCGGCGCCTCACGCCGGAGCCAGTCACCGGATGGCTCCCACCCAAATTCGCGAGCCAGCGCCACCGACCGCATCGATATGGGCGAGTCCTCCGGGCTTCACGGCGAACCTCAACACTGAACAGGCACGACTGACTTCATCAGCAGTCTGCTCTTGGGCAATCTGTATTCTCTTTACATCGCGTATACGTGGCAAGGTATGTCGGTATAATGGCAACGTTACAAAGTCCCGGCAGATATGCAGGCGAGAGTAGGCGCTTGCGGCGACCACCCGCCCTCCCTCACTCGACGTTCCTCCACGCTCGGGAGAACAGCGGAGCAGGTAGGCGCGCGGCGGCGGTGATATGGACGTATATCACCAGCTGAGCGACACAGAATAGCACGCAGTGCACCGACATCACGATATTCGCTCGGGAAATAACTGGGTGTGCGGGAGCAGTGCGCTGCCGTCCTCGCAGCTGACGTCAGTCCCCATCGCACCATGTGAACGCGACAGAGGGGACGAGACAGACCGAAACAGCCGCGGCCCACATCACACGGCTCTGTCCAAAGCGACAGCACGGACCCGACCCAGCCCCAGGCGCCGACACCAGCCCAATCGCGGGCACGCTGTACAATCCATAGTGTGGCGCCCAGGAGCGCCGAACGGCGCACGGCAGCGGGCCGTTACAAACAGGCGATGTGCGCTCTTCCTAGGCAGACACCGTTCCCGATCGGTAAACGTGACCTAAAAGGTCACCACGTCAACACGGTTGGCATGGAACACTCGTCCGAGTGTGCGTGATGCGCCTGTGACGTCACATTTTGCCACCAGAAGAGGGCGTTTGGCAACGAGGAACGGCATCGACACACGTCCCGCAGCGCAGAACATCTGCTCCCGCCGCAGACCCAGCACGATACAGCAGCCGCACGTCGCGGAAACGGAACGTGTACTTCGTACCACCACCCGCGTAAAATGCACGCATACCATCTGTGCGGAAACATTGCGCAGGTCGCTATCGCGGCGGACAAGACGGACGCTCCGGCCCCGCTGGCCGGCCAGTGGAGGCTGCCGCCGGGCGACCGCGGGCCCGGCGGACCCGCGGCACCCACGCCCCTGCCGCCTGCCGAACAGCGGCGTCACTGTCACCACAGTGGAGGCGGGGTCTCGCGCCGCCCGCCGCCGATCCGGCCGACGACAACGCCTGCTGCTGCCCCTGGCCCTCACCGTTCGACCGTCGCACTGCCAGCCGACGTCTGTGACAGACCGCTGCAGAACAAACAGGCCCGTGGAAAATTCAGGAGGGTGGAGAATAAAGAAGCTAGCGCGCGGTCCGCCGCTGGAGTGTCGTTACCGGGTGAACTGAATACCTTCAACCATACCCGAGCCATATGCCGGTTTGTCTCAACAGCAACGACAGATTCCTTATTGGATATGGTCATTTATTCATTTGCGGTACTTTCATTTCCAGTACCGTCAAGGCAATCCAATTTATTTTTTGTCGGAACCTGCGAGAAAAATGATGAGCGCACATGAGCGCCGCGTTGTACTCCGGTACAACACCGAGTTTGCATGCAAGTGTTTAAGTACAGGCGAGATGGAGAGGCGAACTGTGATCAGTGGGAGATTCACGGGTAGCCGGCGGCAATGTCACAAATTCGATATCAGGCGTCTGGTCAAGTCCCCTGACACACGGGGACGCGCTGTTGATTTATACATACCCGTGGCCTGCATATTGCCGAAAACGCGTAATTCAGTACAAATAAGGATATGACAATTATGCCACGTCTGCAGTTCCGGAGGGCTACTTACAGTATCTATAACGTAGATTATGCATGCAAAGATGATAAATTGGTCTCGGGTTAGTCACGACAGCGGAAGGAAAGAAACTCAGTGCAGGGCGGGGGTGTTACAGTCCATCACAGCAGCAGCACACATGCCACCCGTCCCCCCATGACATAAGCCACAGTTGAGAATAACCGGCCGCGGCATTCCCTTCCATGCAACATGTGGTAATCGACACATAAACCAGCGGCCGCTCTCTCGGCACCAGCTGCGACCAAGGGCGGCGGCGGACGACAGAGCCACGGCGGAGACCTGGCCTCAGGTCATGACCGCGGGCCGCCGTCCGCCGTCGCGCCTTCATGTCATCAGGATGCCGACCCGGCCGGCGATGTTGGAGACGATGGAGGGCACCAGCGAGAAGCCGGCGGCGCCCGGCGTCCGCTGCGACATCGGTCCCGTCTTCAGGCCCACGGCCGCGCTGTACGACTGCAGGAACAGGGTGCGCACCGCACGCAGCCGCGCCGACCGCCTGCCGGGCACACGGCCGCGTCACAGGGGTCCGCCTCGGGAGTCATAGGGGGGGGGGGGGGGGGAGAGGAGGCGGCTCTGGGGGCCAGAGGGGTTAGCTCTGGGAGTCGGAGGGGGCCGGCTCTGGGCGTCAGAGGGGGGGGGGGGGCGGCCCTGGGAGCCAAAGGGGGTCAGCTCTGGGAGTCGGAGGGGCCGGCTCTGGGTGTCAGAGGGGGAAGGGGGCCCTGGGAGCCAGAAGGGGTCAGCTCTGGGAGTCGGAGTGGGCCGGCTCTGGAGGTCTGAGGGGACGGATATATAAATCAGATGGGTCCAGCTCTGAAAGTCAGGGGGGGGGGGCAGGCTCTGGGAATCAGACGGGGCCGGCTCTCGGAGTCAGACGGGGCCAGCTGTCGAGGTCAGAGGGAGCCGACTCTAGGAGTAAGAGAAAGTCGGCTATGGGAGTTACAGGGATTGCCTGTAGCCGTCAGGAGGGCTCAGCTGTAATGTTCGGGGGGACTCGGTTCTGTGTGTCACAGGCCACGGCTCAGGTCGTCGGATGGGCCTGGCTCCGGGCCCTCCGAGGGGTCCTGCTCCGGGGGTCAATGGACTGGGCTATAGGTGTTACCGAGCGCGAGTCGCTGTCACGTGCAACACAACCACTAGCATGGCGCTGCTCCGAAGCTCACTACACGGAGCGGACGAATCAGCTGCCACGCGTCTCAGTGCACGCACGCCACGTCTACCTAGTCCTAATCCTACCTAGTCCTAGCTGAGCTCTCTTCTGGTCTATGCACATCCGCTCGTGCTGAGCACTCGGCGGCACACTGCGGACGCACCATGCATGGGCCGCTAGGGACGAACAAACTGGCTGAATCCTGGGGTGACACACGGCGAAAACGGTAGACATGTCTGAAGCTCGACTCGGCGCCTGGCATACTGCATCTGACGGAGTCCGCCTGCACCTCCGCCGCCGTCGACATGTCTGGTGTGGTCTCCGCACACGCGCACACGCACACACATGCACATACACACACACGCACACATTATATATATATATATATATATATATATATATATATACATATACATATACAAACATACATACATACATACATACATACATACACACACATACACACACACCACACACACACACACCACACACACACACACACACACACACACATATATATATATATATATATATATATATATATATATATATATATATATATATATATATACACGTATACATGCACCGGTGCACAGCCTGGGCACGGCCGTCTCCGGTACCTGGTCTCTGGAAGCTCGGTGCTCTGTTCGCCAGACTCGTCGATCAGCGTCGTCGTCGACTCCGTAAACTCTGCCCCCAGCGAGTGACTGCGGACGGAGGGGCACCGTTACGACCGGCGCGTGCGCGGCGCCTGACGACAAAGACGAGTGAGTGACAGGGCGTGCACGAGCAGCTCCCGGGCGCCTGGCTCGCTGTACCGCCCCGGTTCGAAGTCAGTACAGCATCCATGAGAGCGTTTGCTGGCTTGAGGCGACTGTCCGCCGGGCTCGCTCGGTGCCAGTGCGACGTCCCCACTGCAGCTGGAAGCAGGCAGTGCAGCGTGCGGTGACACAGGACTACACCAGACTGTACCACTTCCTAGCTGCTCCGAGAGCGTGATGAGCAGGAACGTGCGATGACACAGGACTGCACCACGCTAGCCCACTTACTAGCTGCTGCGAGTGTGATGAGCCGGAACGTGCGATGACAGGACTGCACCACACTGCACCACCAACTAGCTGCTTCGAGTGTGATGAGCCGGAACGTGCGATGACACAGGACTGCACCACACTGCACCACTTCCTAGCTGCTGCGAGTGTGATGAGCCGGAACGTGCGATGACAGGACTGCACCACACTGCACCACTAACTAGCTGCTGCAAGTGTGATGAGCCGGAACGTGCGATGACAGGACTGCACCACACTGCACCACTTACTAGCTGCTGCGAGTGTGATGAGCCGGAACGTGCGATGACAGGACTGCACCACAGTACCCCACTTACTAGCTGCTGCGAGTGTGATGAGCCGGAACGTGCGATGACAGGACTGCACCACACTGCACCACTTACTAGCTGCTGCGAGTGTGATGAGCCGGAACGTGCGATGACAGGACTGCACCACAGTACCCCACTTACTAGCTGCTGCGAGTGTGATGAGCCGGAACGTGCGATGACACAGGACTGAACGCGAGATGAGCCGGAACGTGCGATGACACAGGACTGAACGCGAGATGAGCCGGAACGTGCGTTGACACAGGACTGCACCACACTGCATCACTTACTAGCTGCTCCGAGAGTGAGATGAGCCGGGCGTGCGGTGACACAGGACTGCACCACACTGCACCACTTACTAGCTGCTCCGAGAGTGAGATGAGCCGGGACATGCGATGACACAGGACTGCACCACGCTGCACCACTTACTAGCTGCTCCGAGAGTGAGATGAGCCGGAACGCACGGAGCCGTTCGATCCGGATCCGTTGACGCTGCCCGGACAGTTCACCATCTGCCAACTGAACACACAATAACACGCCATCAGCCGCATGGAAGATGTGCGCATCGCATTGCCACTAAGACCCGACATTTCATGTGTCGGATGCTCGTCCTGGTTCGCCATCGCACGGCACGACGCAGTGTGAGCACACAATAGTGTTGGCCACCGCAGGATGGCGTACTAAATTTCGCCGCTCGGAGCATGTCAACTGCGAGGTACTAGCCCGTTCACCCCGCGGTCTGGACACCACATGACGTCATCTGACTGATTATGAGTGTTTTATAGAGCACAGGCCACAGAGTAGGGACTGGCTAGCACAGTGGCCATTACTGACAAAAATAGAACTGAAACTACAGCATAACATAACACACAAAAACATCTTTCAAACCTCGGAAGAAAGGAGAGAAAAGGCGTTCATACTATAGTCTGGCATGACCGATGGCAAATCACGCTGCTCATATCATTATCACCGCCCCACAACGCCGCGGAGCAGCCGGCACTTGGCGCCAACTCCGAACCGCTAGGCGTTGCCCGGGGCTGCTGCGGGTGTCTGCGTACGGGTGGGGGTGTAACCTGTGACTGACCTGCCGACCGAGCCGCAGCTCTCGTGACGGGCCCGCGTGCCGCCGGGCACGCTCACCGGGCTGGTGGGCGGCTCGTGGTACGTGCCGCCGCTGAACGAGCCGGCCTCCGAGCGGCACGGCCGCAGCTCCGTCTGGCCGCCGGCCGCCGCCGCCGCCGCCACCGGCCGGCACGGCCAGCCCTGCTGCGCCGACAGCCAGCACCAGATCACGCGGGGACACGGCAGCAGCTGGAGCTCACACTCTCCGGCCACAACGGACCACACGGCGTACCCCACAGGCACGCGCCAACTATCCGCCGGCCGGGTCAGACCTTAGAGATGCCGAGATGCGGAAACAAACATCGTCACGTCGTGACCGCGCTGAACAGCAATCAATGGCCTACTCGACTTGACCCTGGCGTACATAGACCATGAGATACAACTTAAGCTCAGTCATACACGCCCCCCCCCCCCCATTAAAAAAATCAGTGTCACAAAGATGGCAGAGGCCGTCCCAGGGCGCCTCCTGCGGGTCCAGCCCTCCCCCAATCAGCAGCGTGGCACAGAGGTGCGGCCATACCTGTTCGGGGAGCGACTCGAGAGAGCCGGAGCCCTGCCGCTCGAGCAGGCGCGCCTGGCGCTCCGCGCGTCGGCCGGCCGCCGGCGAGGCGTCCGTCGGCCGCAGCTCGGCCGCCTGGTGACTACCGTCGGGGCGCGAGCTGACACAGAGCCGCGACACCGGCTCGCGCCCCGGCGCCGCCGCGTCGGCCGGCTCGCGACGCCGGCGCCGACGCCGCTCCGACCGCCGGCCGGAGCTGCACGACGATGACGAGGAGAGCTCCAGCTCGCTGAGGCTGCCCTCCAGCGACGTCAGGCTGGCGGCGCACGGCTCGACGAAGGGCCACGCCTCGGCGCTGGCCGGGCCGGCCGGCGGCAGCAGCGCCGCCGCCGCGCCGTCCGACGCCGACGAGCACGACGAGTGGATGCTGGAGGCGTCCGTCTCGAGGCCCTCCAGCAGCACGCCGTCCACCAGGTGCACCTCCGACTCGGCGCGGCGCGGCTCGGTCGGCGTCGGCCCGCTGCCGCCGCACACACGCCGTTACACCACTGGACGGCGCACGCACGCAGGCACACACGCGCGACAGCGGCCGAACAGAGCGACGTGTCATTACGGGATATCGTAATCTCCCTAGAGCCTTGTTAAATCATATATCCCAACGGTGGAGACAACTCAACGTAAGAGTTGCCCACAAAAACAGCCCATCGCAACGTACAGTATGCGAATGACAACCAGCGAATGACACAGTAGTTCGTAGCAAATTTCTAAACAACCCACATCACAGCAGTGTGCCAATAGCTTTACCACGAACTCGTCATTTCCAGCGTCGCCCATTTCAAAACTCAAGTGACAGCATCCATGCGGGCAAAACATCGCGGCACGCGACCATGTGCAGTACAAGATCGGCATCACACCACATACAATCCATGCCGGCGCCGGCGGTCCGCTGCAAACTCAGCGAACACACGCACCCGTAGTTGGAAGCACTGAACTCTTCCGTGTCTATGTGCGTGAGGAAGTTGAAGGCGAAGTGCATGATCTCCTCGTCCTTGGCTACCCGATCGGGCAGGTTGTGTCCGAACAGGAACCAGTCGTACGCCAACGTCAAATATAGGATCTGGAAGTCAAACATAAACCTCAAAAGAGGGTCTTCCAGACGCAAATCTTGCAGTTGCAACTACACGGCAGCAGATAATGCAGACACAATAATGATGGGGCCAATCTGTCTGTACAGGTGGCAGGCGCGGCCATTGAGACCCGTCAAAACACATTTCTCATCGTATCAGTCATCCAGCGATCTTCTCCTGACTCTCCTTCCTTTTCCGGATGTTTGCCAACAACACCAGCACCCAAACAGTGGACTTCCGCGTGGTGCAGTATACTGACAACCCCCATTCGACATCTGGTGCACAATGCGCGGATCAAGACCCACCAGTGAGCCATTGGTGCAGACCAGGACCCACCCAGATCGCCCAGCACTGGTGCGGACCAGGACCCAACCAGAGTGCCCATCACTGTGTGGACCACGATCCACCCAGAGCGTCCATCACTGGTGGGACCAGAACCCACCCAGAGCGCCCATCACTGTGTGGACCACGATCCACCCAGAGCGGCCATTACTGCCGCGGAGCAGGACCCACCTGCGAGGCGTCCAGCGCCGTGTGAATGAGGCCGTCGGCCCAGAGCGTCAGCCGCAGCAGCGAGACGAAGAGCGGCGTCCGGTCCCAGCCAGAGATGCAGTGGATGAGCAGGCCGTCCTGGCTGGCGTGTAGGCAGTGCAGCAGCAGGCGCAGGTAGTTCTGCGTCAGCTGCACGATGTCCCAGGTCTGCGGCGGCCACGGTAGCTCGAGTGAGAGGGAGAGCGAACGAGCGCCGCCGCAGGGCATCGTCAGCCGGCGCCCGCCTCCGGGGAAGCAGCGGCACCGCAGTCACGAGCGGCATCGTCAGCTGGCGCCCGCCTCCGGGGAAGCAGCGGCACCGCAGTCACGAGACGGCGTGCGCCCCAACTCGGGAGCCGTTGTTGGCTGAAGACGCCGTTCACTTGAGCCCAGACCATGCACGGATAGAACAGTCCCTTCGAAACCCGGTCAACAACGTTCGGGACCCCTTGAGCAAACTGGGCTTTATACTGCGTTTCTACTACTACACTGACCTCAGGGCATGACCTAAAACCTCATCCAGCACTGCACTTTTGAAATCACTTAAAAACAGAAAAAAACAAGCCTTGCTATTGTCCTCTTATTTGTTTACATCAGATGATGTATAAACCGCGAAGTTATGATATATACAACTTTTGACATTTCTGCATGCGCCACGACGTGCAGTAGCAGCCGTTGCAGAAATCACAGTCACCATAGACGGTCACCTTAACACCAAAGCAAACATCGACACAGCGACCCACAAATACACTGGAAGTGCAGACAGTGCTGCCTCACGCACCACCGGTGATCTGAACTGTGTGACTTCAACAGCAAACATTGCGCCAGCGTTGGTTTTGTCTTCAGTCAAATACTGCGGCGCGTCTATAAACGGTTCATGTAGCGACATCTGGGTGCATCGCGTGCAGAACAGTGAATTTATGTGCACGGGTGGCGACAGACAGAAGAAGAAGCGGCTGAATATCTGACACTATGCGACACCTCGCATGGCATAAAGCCAATCAGCTCATGGATTAGCAAACTATGTGAGCTGCTCAAAAGATCATTCAGACCTGGTATACTGACAGCATGTATGGCACGATTGGGCAGCGTGCAGATCGGAGACACGAGCACGCCACCAGACGTACCGAACGCCGCACCCTTCCGCAAAGCCGCACAGAAGCCGGAAGATACCGGCTAAGCCAGCTTTGCTATGCTATGTAGGCTGTTAAATAGGCTTGACGTCGAACCTCGTGCACTGACTTTACCACGGAACGTAAGGCAGGCAACAGTGTCGACTCAGCCAAAACAGACTTGGACATGTCACGCGAGCCATGCATGACCACGTGCTGTTCACGTGCGTGTGTTCCTGTGCCTGTGCCATGATCATCATTCTGTTGTGTTCCTTTTATGCTTTATTTACCATAGCGTACCTTAGTGCGGAGTCTCCATATGTTGTAGTAAATATATCGTCATCAAAGCGGCATGTCATCAGGTTTTGCTTAAAAGGAACGTTTCACATTTGAAGATATTGAAGCAAGCATGATATATGGTGAAACAAGCTCACTTTTAAGTAGAACAGACTGCTTCAGTCAACACAATTCCTCGATTTAGTAAATGTGCCCCTCGATGCATCATTGCTTCATTACGTCATTGCACCTTGCTACATATTGAGAGCAAATTGCCGGTCATTTTACATGGAAATCGTGCTCACAAACGCGAGATATGAATAACTCGACCATTGTACTTTTTTCTCAACCTTGATTGCCGCATGGCTTACGGAATGGCAGCATTTGCCATATGACGTCAATATTTTGTTAATATGACGTAAATAATTCCAGGATGACCTTTTAATACTCCCCCGGAAATACTCTCTCCATTTTCGCGAGCGTGTAGCTCAAAAACTAAAAGGGGGGTGGGCCAGGTTTCAAGAAGGGCAGGGCTGTAATCTCCACCGAAAAGTCTTCAATATGGTTATTTCAGTTCAAAATCGCATAGAAATGAGGATGACTCCCTTTAACAGGCTTTGCTACACTGTTTACTGCTACTACCGACTGCTACTACTAATCAGGGTTCAACAATGCATTCAACATCTAAGGTCATTTTGCGTCCACAGTGGCCACGCCGAATGCCGTAAAGGATGACGAAACTGTTGCTCGGGAACGGAGAAACGAACACCACGACAAGTGCAAATAAACAAGCTGCGATGAGCCGCGCTGGGGCGTTGCTTACTACATAGGCTAAACACACAGTGTCTAATAAGCGCAGTCCTGCTTCGGTCACGTTCCTTTGCCACTGTCGCTACAAGGCGTGTAAGTTCAGGTGAAACCAATAAACATTTTGCCACTGCCTTTCCTTAACCAAATGAACGCAGAGATGCTCCGTGGAACAATATCGCACATTCCCACAGCTTACGCGCCAAAACGTGTTCTACACTCTATTGAAACAAAACTGGAACACCAGATGCGTTCTTTTACGTATCATGGCGCAAATACGACCTTTTGTTGGTTAATCACTTGCTTGCACTTATGGTACAGTAACTGCAGATTACAGAATACAGTAACTGATTTTTGCTTATCGGATCATGGTGACCTCATCATGGAATATCCACTGAGCGTCTCTCCAGCTAAGGTATCGTCCTGGTTCGGGAAACACTTTACAATACACGGCAGATCTGCGCTACCGTTGCCATGGACAGCTGGCCCTTTGGACTGCCGCGTACATGACTTAGCAGCTCTGTCACAAAAAGTATGAAAACCAAAACGTCATAACCTAGATTGTTCCCAAACATTTCTAGGTTTCGGCAAATTGAACTTGCCTGGAAGGAGTTTGGAGTACTTTGCATGCCATTTTTTCAAAATGCTTAAACTGACATCGCAAGACGTATTTTTTCGAGCTGCATCAAATATCCTACGAAATCCATTCCGAAAAACGGTGCGTAGGCCTTTTCACCTCTTGCCAGCAGAGTTGGGATACAACACAGAGTGCTGCAATTGTCAATCTCCCGTAAGAACCAAAGCGCCATCACCTCCCCAGCGAGTGGCGAGTGTCCCTTACATCGACCCGTCACGCATACGCCCATGCCAGTAGCCGGCGAAGGGAGCCGGTGCCGGGCCCGGCCGGTGTCGGGTCAGCGCCGCCGCCGCTCTCTCACCCGGTACAGCTCCCACTGGACGGCCAGCCTGTCGACCAGCTGCGGCGGCAGCACGATCTCGGCGTCAATGTAGCTCTGGTTCCAGTCGAAGAGCAGACCGGCGCCCTGGTAGCCGCGCTGGCAGTACTGCTGGAAGAACTCGCAGCCCGGGTACGGCAGGCTGAGCAGGTCGAAGCCGGCGTACCGCTCCTGCTTGTCCACTTTCTCCGACGAGGACACGCTGCCGGCGGACGGTGACGTCAGGACGGCGGACAAACGCGTCGCAACCGCGGGTCAAGTCGGGGCGAGGGGACACAGCGGACAACAGATCCGTACATCGGACAGCGGACCAATATAGCGGGCAGCGGGTCCATGTAGCGGACCGCGGGTCCATACGACGGACACTGGCGTCTGGCCCGCAATGGTCATCACGACCAAAACCAATCATGTAACGTCACGAGGACATTCAAGTCGACGAGCGATCAGACCATGAAAGATCTCCATCCGCCAATGGCCAGACATCACTCTACGGTAGTGTAGCGCACTGCTATCGGGACGACAGAACTGAAACCAGCCACATCGTGGCCGTCTCCAACCGTCATGCGTTCAAAGAGAGGTGCCCAAGTGCGTGTACTTACTACACTCCGAACTTGACCTTCTTGTTCTCCACCATGAGGTCGGCAATGGTGCGTACAGAGAAGAGGCGCAGCAGTTTCATGTCCATGTTGCGGATGCGGTCAAACAGCTGGCTTGGCGACTCGTCCGGCGGACTGGGCGGATCCAGGCCGGCCTCCTCGATCGGCTGGGAGCCACCGTCGCCGCCGCCTTCGCCGCCGCCGCTCGGGGCACCGCCGAATATCGAGTAGAAGTAGTGACGCGGATACATCTCCGCACCCACCGACAGCGTCGAGGACCTGAAATGTGGGCGAATAGCGCGCGGGCATGTTTCGGTTGTAAATGACAGTGCGAGACGCCCGGCGTGTGTGAGTGTGCCATTAGGGCTTTACGACACACTCAGCTCCTGGGGCTATATGGCGCCGCCTGCGTCTCACCCTGGCGGGAAGGGCGGGTACCACGGGGAGTCGAACCCCGTACCTCTGGCTTCCCAGAAGCGCAGTAGTTAACGCAGACGCGTTAATCACTACACTATCGGCGCCACGAGAGGCGCCGGATCGCCACGATCTCACCTCCGCTCCACTCCCACACGTTGCAGGAGGCCTGTGACAACGTCACGCATCACCCAACAGCGACGAGGCTCGATGCACAACACCAGAGCGGCGGCGCGCGACCGGCCGGTCGCCACTCACCTGCAGATGTGCTGACCGCGGTACAGGATCACGCCGACGGGGAAGCGGCCCCGGCAGCGACCCATGCGAGCCACCAGCGCCAGCCGGTGCAGGCGCGTCGCGTCGACGGCGCCGGGGTCGCGGCCCGCCGACAGCAGCACGATCCGCGACGGGTAGTTGCTGCCCAGCTCGCCGGACCCGTTCGGCAGGATGTCCGTGTGGTAGTCGAGCCGGAACAGGTCCACCGTCTTCTCCATCACCGACTCGGACTGTGGAGCGCACGCACCGTCAGCGTCAGCCGAGGGGTGTCTCCGCACGGCTTCAGCCATCGCCAGCCGAGGGGTGTTGCTGTACGGCCTCAGCCACCGTCAGCCGAGGGGCGCAGCCGCACGGCTTCAGCCATCGCCAGCCGAGGGGTGTCGCCGCACGGCTTCAGCCACCATGAGCTGAGGGACGCCTCCGCACGGCTTCAGCCATCATCAGCCAAGGGCCGCCGCTGCACGACTTCGGCCACCGTCAGCCGAGGGGCGCCGCCGCACGGCTTCAGCCACCGTCAGCCGAGGGGTGTTGCCGCACGACTTCGGCCACCGTCAGCCGAGGGGCGCCGCCGCACGGCTTCAGCCACCGTCAGCCGAGGGGTGTTGCCGTACGGCTTCAGCCACCGTCAGCCGAGGGGTGTCTCCGCACGGCTTCAGCCATCGTCAGCCGAGGGGTGTTGCTGTACGGCTTCAGCCACCGTCAGCCGAGAGGCGCCGCCGCACGGCTTCAGCCATCGCCGGCCGAGGGGTGTCGCCGCACGGCTTCAGCCACCATGAGCTGAGGGACGCCTCCGCACGGCTTCAGCCATCATCAGCCAAGGGCCGCCGCTGCACGACTTCGACCAACGTCAGCCGAGGGGTGCCGCCGCACGGCTTCAACCACCGTCAACCGAGGGGCGCTACCACCGTCGACCGAAGGGCGCCGCCACCGTCAGCCGAGGGGCGCCGCCGCACGGCTCCAGCCACGGGCAGCGGCACACCAATATCCATGCAATATGATGGTTTCGATGTTATGCCGGAAAACTGACGGAGACTTCGCCACATGATTTCCCACACATGAATTGCTATGCATGACATGCCATACAATCACTGGCCACTGCCACACAACGGTTGGATGACACCGGCTCATACATTGTGGGAATAAAAAATGATAGAATTGAGGCTGATTTTGTTGGCATTTTCCCAGCGTTTTCTGTACTAGGGCGCACTTAATTCACGGAAGTTCATTCCATCCGCGGCAACGGCCCCATTCCCGATGCGCTTGTGATCACCGGGATATTCCATAATGGCGAGATCACGGTCTACAATGGCTTTAAACGAGCATGCTGAGCTTCAGATTTGATAACCGTGAACATATTTTGGGAAAAACAGTCCAAACGATATTTAGTCCGTACCTTTTGATTGGGTGGATTTCTGTGATCAGAACTCACGCCGAGCAGTGCTCGTTGTGTGGATCCTAATATTACCAATCGATTGTGAAATTCCAGGTCAACGGCAAAATTTAGTTGCGAAAGTTTAACGTGCCGCAATGCTCCGTGCGGTCCGTCCTGCCCTCTGACGTCACTTGACCTTTGGCACGGCCGCTTCCACCGGCCGCAAGCCATACCTGTCAAGCGCAAATGGCGAGCGCCTAAAGCGATTCGAACCAACCCTGCCACAGGCAGGCTGATCGGATACCAGGCGCCCCAACCAACTGACCCACTGGGCGGGCCAATCAGCGGCGTCGACGGGCAGAAAGTTCGTGCTGATCCCACAGGCCTTCAGGATTCCACCGACTTTGCCATGCTGAATTCTACAATGTTCTCTATGGCGAGAACCTTCTTTGCCGCGAGATCCACCTGTGCTTGCTGTGGTGTACTCTCCGATCCCATCATTGGAATGCCGAGATCAACCTCATATTTACCTCACACTGTGCGCCACATCGAAGAACGGCAGACAAGGCACTTCTTCAAGCATCAGAAATGATTCATACACTTCTCGGGTCACTTTCGAGATTTCTGCATTCGGTAGCTGATCAGATCAAGTTTTGTCAGACAGCCAGGTCGCGCACGTGATATTTAACTGATGGGGACCATTCATTCATGCTTTTTTCTCTGGGATGCCGCACCATTCACTGATGCAAAGCAACAATCAAAAACACGAAGTGCTCCAGCAGCTCCCCCCTTTTTCTGAGAGTCTGGGAGAGCTGATCAAAAAGCAAGATCTTGATCCCATAGGTCATGTCTTCCATCCATCCGGCATGGGGGAGAATACCTGACAGGGAAAAGGATTCCCAGTTGTGGCTCTTTGCCATGTGATATATTAATGGGCCCCAAGAACTCATGATGACCATAATGGGCCCAGACTTTGACAACTTTCTTGAGGCAGAGGACAACTACACAAACCTTGGAGAAGGCAAACATCCCAGTCACTGCCAGCTCCAGGTCTTCACACAGCATGGGTTGAAGCTTGTTCTGATCACTGTACCTCCATCTCCTCTTCAGTGCATTAACAAGACTCCTGTCTCTGGACAGAGAGTTGATCCCTTTATCATTCCACCATCACATAGCATGCTTTCTACTCCAGCTGCAGGCAGTCCATCCAGCTGGGATGATCACCACATTTACACTTGAGGATAGCTCAGTATTGTTCAAGCTTTCTGCTCTAATTTATCATGTTGTGTTTTATCTCCAACACAGTGAGAATGCAGGCCATGCTAGTTGGTGCAGACAAGGAAGGATTTATTTCCACCACAATGCCTCTTCTTTGTGATCTGCACCATCTCCAGATCTGGCTTCAAAAGATCACCAGGTGCCAGGAGCCATGACTGGGCAGTAAGGCCTATACCAGCATAAGATTGACTGCAGAGTGATCACATAGCTTAGTCCAATTGAAGGTTGCCAGATCAGGAGTGATTAAGCCCTTGGCTCTCCTGTAGCCATCACTGGAATGAGCTACCATGATGAAGTGTTGAAGGTCATCTTCATGCATTGCTTGTGCACCATAGGTAGATGAGAATCTCAACTGGGCATTGCCTTCTGCTCATCTTGATTCTCAACCTGGCAGCAGGCCCGTCTGTTGCTGGAAACCTCGCCACTTCTTTCCATAATGAAAGTCATTAACTCCAAGCACAAAACCTGGCACACCTAGCTACCATAGGTCTGAAAAAAGCTTTAGCCTTCCTGGATTCAGATGATCTTCCAAAAATATAATAAAGGCAATCTTAAATTATCTTTCCTTAACAAATGATTATCCCTTGCTAATTGAGGGGTGAACCCACCTTAGCATCCCATCTGCCTTTGAGGGTAGCTTAGTACAGGGGAAGCTCACTATCTGACATGAGCACATGCTTCAGTCCATTACAGTGGTAATACTGACTCCTTTATATCCTTTATATCCCATTCCCTGCCCATTAAACTAATATCCCCATGTAAGCTAGACAGTGGCATTTCCAGGGGTTTTTAAGCTGATGGCCAAAACACAGGGTGTGGGTTATGTGCATGTGAAAACAATGCAAAACCAAAAAATCCTTTCCACCAGATTTTGGAATTGCATCTACAATCTAAATACTGTCATGAGGTTAGGGGAAAATTAACCTCTTCTATCCTGAAAGTTGACATCAATATTACTGATAAAGCTATGCTAAGTGACATGATCCCTCTGCTTGACAGTGGGTTTTCAGTGATATCACACCTAGATAATTTGTTTAAGGTGACATGATACACTCCTGGCTAAAAATGTCACTACATCATTGAAGAGCATGAATATTTCTTGAGATTTTTTCAAGGAGGCAAAGCATTCAATCTTTCCCTGACCTTAAGTAAGCACCGCAAGACAGAATAAGAGCCTAAAAATACTAACAAATGAAATAACTGCAAACTTTTCTAAAAGTGGTTAACTCCCAACTGGCCTATCAGCTTTAAAATGAAATTTGCATATTCTGCATCAGGTGAGCACAAAACTGTTTCATAATGGGGGAATTACATACAGTAAACCTAGGACAGAAGCTTAGCCAGCTTGCAAAAAAAATACATCTGATTTGCCTGGTCCACCTTGTCACCTTCATAACCTTAAAACCTTGAACCTAGAGCATGTGTGCACTGAAGTCAAGCCAGGCAAATTGTGATGAACTTTCAAATAGTTTTTGCTGAACAAGTTGAGGGCAGGGTCATTTTGTTAAAAATTACCATAATGAATTATTCATGAAAAAAAACAGTGGCTCCCAACGCAATGAAAGTGGCAACTGTGCATCAAACTCTGGGTTCTCCAATTTAATGCGTGGATGCAATGAAGTGGCTCTAGGATGTTGCTGCTACATCGGGCATGTTTGGCATCACGTGTCTTTTTTTGCAGTCTGGTGTCTACTTCTGCGGTCACCCACCTTCTTATCGCGGTCCTGCACGCGGTATTGGTGCTTGAGCGCATGGTTCAGCAAGTCCTTTATCTCTGCTTTAGATAGGGACTGCATAGTGAGGGAAGACAGCAGGCTTGGCAACCTCTCCATTAAATAAGGGCAGCGCCACGAACCAGCGACATGGCCTGGCACCCAATGGGTGTCGGCAATGGCTCAGCAATTCAGTAACCCACCCCCTTCCCACGTCGCAACGTCGCAACCAACGACGACATTCGCTCGTGCTATTTGGCTACTAGTTTCTTATCTATCCAAAAACTTTTAAATTATACCAAAATTAGCAAAATGTTCTAAATCATGCGCTGGCATCGAATCTTCGGAAGAACAGCCACAATAGAGCTTGGAAGCCCCAACCTTGTGTCTTGTATCAAAACCTTCCACTGTTGTATAAACATAATGTGGATAAATGTACTTAACATATGGCTAAGTCTCACTACAAAGTGGGTTTTATTTATGTGAGTTGTTAAGTGCATTTTCGAGGAACTTTATTCACATAGATAAGACGGAAGTATAGCAATACACTTATTCTTTGGAGATAAGCCAGGAGAATGAAAATATAGATACGTCGATATCTCGGCAACGTGCCTTTATCGAGACTAATAGCAGAAGTTACACTTCTGCTATTACTTTTATGTACATTCCACTAATGCGCAGCTCGATATATTTCAACACATTTCTAGTTACTGCGCTGATTGAACGTGGCCAAAGCTCAGCATTCTCTGAGAAGAAAAGGTCATCGCCCATGGCGCATTGACCGATCAACTATGAAGGCGATCGGTTCGCGCATACCCTCTAAGCAAGGCCACGTATACAGTAGATTTTAATGGTCGTGGATGCTTCCTGCCCTTTTTAACCCGACGATAGGCAGGAGTGGGTTCCTTAGTGAGTTTGAGGTCCCCAGCCTTAACTCAACTTGGGCTGTAGCCGCAATTTTGAGAAAGCGGGCCAAATCTGGGAGAAGTGCATTTGTTGGTTTTGATATAGGTTAGTTTATTTTTCACTGCTCACACCCCATAATCATTTTACGAAATTATGTCCCTGACGCAATAAGGTGATGGTGCTGAGAGGATACATTGCGAAAAATGGACCAGAACACATCGAATGCAAAAGGTTTGGCAGCGGTTAGCCTCATAGTCCCCATGCAAAGAGCACTGCAGCGGGAGCGTGTTGAACGTTGATCTTGTTAGTTTTTTTCAGTCATCTATGATCCGACCCAAGTTCATCATATTAAAAAGAGAGCTTATTGCCAATCGTGCATTAAATGGAGAAGGTTTAGAGTCATTCAGCTTCTTCGGCTCGGGGCACGCGATCATCAACAAGTTTGGGCTGTCGATTAGTCCCTGCCGTGGCTGCCCTTGGAGGGTGGTATCGATTTTGTGGGACGTGGTGTTGGGAGGGGCTGGTTAGGCTCAAAATTGCGTGAAATGGGCAAAGAAAGTGTTTGTTTTCGATGTCTGCGTTGTTGGCGACCGTAAGGTGCCACAAGTTTATCACAACTGAATCCCCTACTGTCAGTACCCTTCGCGTCTCATTGGGATCACAATTCAGGTTCGTGTGTTAGGTCCCCATGTTGGCTGTTCCATTGCATCATCATTAGCATCAACATGTACCCTGTTGATTCCCCCGAAATTTGCCGGGCATAGAATATAAGCTGTGTTTGAAAACCTAATGTTCATGCTGGGGAGTAAAGACAAAAGGGTTAAGATGGCAGTCTATGGTGAACATAACATCCTGTCTGCTTGACTGATGTAGGATACAGAGCTTGTACACTTTAAAAAGAAGCCATGGGATGGCAAAAGTGGTTAGTAAACATGTGCAGGAGCTTTCATTGACTAGGACTCAAAAGTATTTGCTCATTTGCACCTGATAATGCCAAATGGGTCTGGCTTTGTGAGTGAGAAAAACATTGCTCCATCAGTTATGAGTTCAGCCAAGGTTTTACACTTACTTACAGTGTCTTCTTTCCTCAACTAGCATGCGGCGACAAGCAGTAAGATTGTCATGCTTTAAACACTGTTTAGTTGTGCATCTCAAGCTTATTTTATGAAACCATACCTCAGTCTGTCATCAACGAAAACTGTTATGGATTGGACAGATGCCAGCTACCTATCTGTTGATAATGGCAGCATTTACCTGACCCAAGGGATGAATGTTGGGGTTCATGTGATTGCATCACGGCTATCAACTGCTGTCTTAAACTGGTTTTGGCAATTAGTAGGTGACAATATGAAGTTCTGAATCACTTTTCCTGACAACAGTTGTTTCCTGACAACAGTTTCAACACTGTCAAGCTGTGGATGTGTCAATCTTGTGATTTTTGTCCTTCTAAAAGACAAGGTAGATTACTTGAAAAATACCTTTGTATATTTCTTGTGGGGTGCAGCATGACAGGAAGTGCTTACAATGTTAAGCAACTCACTACTGTGAAGAACACATGGTGTGTTACTTGTTTAGGAGCTAACTTTAACCCCTTTCCTAGGAGGGGCAATGTAATTTATGAGTATCTGGTACACACTTAGGTAGGTTATATGAAAATTAAGATCACAACTGCTACCTAATCTTTGATGGCTGTCATTGCAGCAGCAATAACTACCTGCTTTGGCAAGCTGGTTTGCATAACTGGTAACAGCAATGCTTCTTGAGGCTTATGTACACTGACATAATAATTTAGTCATGGTCTTTCAATAAAACTGCTGAAAAATGAGGTCTGAAACACTTATTTAATAGTGTTTTCTGTGCACACCATGTTCCAAGGCATAGGTATTATGTTCCATGACTGTAACTAAGTGAAATGCAAACCTTTGCCAAAATGAGGATGTGTAAGCTTTCCTTCATTTAAGACCTGCCTCAAGATCCTACGCATGGGGGAACGTTTTTGTTATGTGTTGCAAGTGACTGCCCACAGTCATGCCCTGTTAGCATTATGCCTCAAATGCAAAGTTTGGAATAAGATATGAAAGTGCTCAACTTTTACAGTTAGCTGTTAAATGAATGAATTTGAAATAATCTTGTTACATAGTAGTAGCAGTACACTCTTACTTGTCATAAATTTTTGTATATGAGGCAATTTCTCATTTATGCAATCCAAATGGGAGCATAGTTATATTGCTGCAAGCTGTGCCAAGGCCTTAAAGATACACTTGTACTGGAGCCATGCACAGGCACAAACATTTTCTGATCTCCACCCAGCTGTGTTGTGCTCATTGATGCTCTTGTTCTATATGTATAAATGCAGGTGTGGATGAAAATAAAAAAGAAGCACTGCCATTAAGATGACTTATACAGGAGAAAATTTCAATCAGCAAACTAGATGAATAAGATTGCAATATCATTTTGGTTATTTTGGTAGTGGTACCACATGGAGATAATCAAGGACCCATCTGGTTGTTCCTCCAGTCTAATTGGAGACCTTTCATATTATGCCAAATATGTCAGCTTGTTGCTGGAAAATTACAAAATATGAAGACACAATCCTCACCACCTTATCCATCCTCCTTCAGTAAGTACACATAGCCCAGAACCGCAAAGGAGTAGAGCAGGAGCCAAAGCAGTGTTGTGTTCTTTCAGCAGTGTACTAAAAGGGGGTCAGATCTGTTCTTGGGTTCCAAAAGGTCTTGACACAGCATGATGTTAAACATGACACTTGTTGCAGGTGGATGCCGTATGTCTGGACCTGTTGCTCAGTGTGGAGGGGTTCAATGGAAAGGCAAGTGCTCACCTGATTGCTAGACCAAAACTTGTTTTTTTGTGATTTGTGACCAAATTTTTTTGACTGTATGGGATAGAGCAGCCCAAAATTATTATGTCACATCCCTGTCTCACATATGTATAACAGCCCTATCAAGTGTCAATATGTATTTGCTCATTTTAGCTTAGATCATGAGGAGTCTCTGTGCTGCAGTCATGTCCTGCGTGTTTTTACACATGGCTCCCTCTGGTGGCAGGTGACATGTGGGATGACGTCCTGGACTGAGAGGATGCACAGGGGAGCAGCTACATTAGGCACAGTGGTCACGTCATGTGGCCAACAAGCTGTGCCCTACCCTCGACAACTGGAAAAGTGAGTACATGTAGCCATGGCCACAAAATATGTTGTTTTCCATGTTGTTTATCTTATTGTAATAACACCTGTGCTTGAGAGACATGAGTAAGGGGCGAAGTATGTGGCACATTCTTGTTCTTCTTGCATTGCTTTAAGACCGAACATTGCCAGCAAACGAATTTGGATTGGTCTACGATCAACAGAACAGTACATAAGGCAAAACAGGAGCCAAGCATGGTCAAAATTTCCGGGGGGCGCGATGGCCGACCGGCGGATCCGACGACTGAGCGGCCGTTGCGTTATCGCGGATACGCTCGCGGATACGCTCGCCGATCGTCGCATATGGCACTCCCGGAGTATGGTTTGCCGTTGAGCGACACGTGATGGCCCTTCCGTCGGAAGCTGGTGTCATCTTTCGCGGAAGGACACTGGGGGACCGAGACACAGCTAGCTCGGAGCATGTCATGCGGCGGCGGCGTAGTCGTGAACATGTGCAAAGCTTCACGCCTAATTGGAAAGAGTTTTGCCGCAATATCAGCATGGGTGATCCCAAATGTAGCCTGTATGCAATCTGTCATTGACTAGAGCTCATTTTGACCTCGTATGGCCCTGGTTGTCAGCAGCTTTGTGATAGGACCTTGCGATAGTGCTTGGTGAGATGTCTCGCTAATGTTTTGTCCGTATCTGCGCGCAAACATGTTGATTTTTTTGGTTTTAATAATTTCATGTTTTGAGAGTCGTGATGAAGTGATGTCGCATGTATGTAAAGACATTGAGTTTTTGCGGTAGAGGTCATAAGTGCTATAAATTGAAGTAAAATGTTTTGGTTTTTAATTTTTGTTTTTACAAAGCACATCACACAATGACAATCACCACACGAAGACGATGCGTGAAATGATCGATTGCACAAAACATCCGGCAACCATGTCCAATCGTACTTCCCACATATTGTCGCAGTATGTTATGCATACAGGCTTATCTCTTCAAACACTTGCTCGCACACAATACCTACAGCGCGGTCGACATACAACCCACAGTGTTCCGTTTTCTCGCGCTCGTTTTGGAACCAGTGCCAGTGCGACCTCCCACCGCGATCGCAAACGACACGGCATTTACCGCGATGGTGCGTGCAGGAAAAACGTGAATGTGTACATGTAGGCGTGTGTGGTGTGCGTGTTTGCGGTCTGGAAGCGCGTGTGTGTGCGAGAGAGAATACGTGCATATCTGCTTGGGTTGTGTATTGCAGGGCACATGTGCGCGCTCTGCACCACAATTTTGTGATTGAGGTCGGGCATTACTCGCAGCATCAGACCTACTCTTCCCCACTTGTCGGTAAATCTGTTCGTTTCGTTACTTAATTCGGCGAAACAGCGCTCCTTTTGTGCCTCGAGCTTCGGCAAGCTTAGGCAATGTCCGATTTGTAGTAAGCTCTCCTCAGATGCGCCACGTATGTCGTGATATGAATTGATTTTTATATTGATGTGATTATGATAAAAATTCAATGCTGCTCGTGCTTTGTAAATTGGTGAATATCCACTGCCCCTTGGCAAGATTAAGTGTTATGTTAAATTCCTCGGATGGTTTTGTGAAAACGTCTCTCAGGAAATCCTGGGTTCCTAAACAATCTCATTATAAACACATTAATGTCTCAACTGACTACGGGCAAAATGTGCAGGAATTATTTTCTTATCCACCAGTGCTGTGCAGAAAAAGACGAAGAGGCTCTTTCGGAGAAGCTCTCGTTCACAGCTTGATCATGACAGCTGCTAAGTCTTCTCCATCTCTGCGCTTCCCAATTAATTTGCTCCAAAAGAGCAAGTTTGCAGACCGACCCCGGCGTTCTAGCCCCTCCCCCCCCCCCCCCCCACTTGTTCTTCGAAGCTTTCTATTTGCTCGTGGCACGACTGCAGCATTGCCTCCAATTATCATTATCCCCATTTATTCACTGACCGTTTCGTTACCATTTCATCATTTATCACCTCATAGCATTCACCATTCCATTGTCATTTCACCCACTGACCGTTGTCGTTTTTTTCACGGTGGTGGTTAGACGCAGGGCAGGCTCTTCATCGTCATCTGCCCGAAAGCACTGCTGGCTCGCTGGCTGACGTTACGTTAGCCACAGATGCAACACTTCGGCTTGAGCCTCACTTCATGTCGCCCGCTTGGTACCACTAAGACGCTCCGGGGCCACGGGCCGTTCCCCTCACCCGGTCAAATGCATCGCATCAACAGCTGACGGGCGAGCCTGTAGGCACAACCGCACCGGCCGAGGTCAAGGCCGCCGCTGGGCAGCATGAATTGCGTCGTGTTGCACTCACGTTGTGTATAAGTCACTGCATAAGAAGTAATGCCGCGAATAACGGATGTCGTAGCACTCCTATCGGTGGGTTTTTCCCGTGGCACTTAAGTCTTGACACCATGTCACACGGCTTGGTCTCGGCCCCCCCCCCCCCCCCCGCCTAAGTGAAGCCCCTGAGCACGGAACAAATCCGGGATTTTTTTAGGAGGAATGCAAAAGGGCGGTCGTGAACTGGTAACTTAAAATCACCAACATATCACTGGACACCATGCTAGCATGATACCAAAAAAGTAGAAATTTCATTGCGGTTTCGGTACTTTTACTTTTGTGTGCACTGTGGGTCCTGTGACCCGGGCTTTTGCAGGCCCCGGTGTCTTTTTTACCTGCTCTCGCGGCGGTCTCGTGCGATTAACGTTATAAAATTACTTAGACACTGCTGAAAGTAAACAAAGACAAGTTTTCTGAATACAAATCTTCATGACGAACCGAGGCTTCTGAATGAATGCCTTTTCAGCCGAAGCGAAAAGTGAGGCACGGTTCATCATCGTGATGGCGTCGTTCGACTACAGTGCAGAGGACGACACACAGCTGGTGTTCCAATATCTGCCAATGGAGCTGGAAGTTAACGCTCTCGGTGTGTATGTGGTATGCTGATTAGCACTGTGGAAATGGCCTCGCGCGCCACGCGCGGCTCAAGCGGTTGAGCAGCGTGAGTGGTTGTGCATGAGTGCGTGCGCGCGGGCGTGCATACGTACGATCGTACGTGCGTGCGTGCGTGCGTGCGTTCGTTACCGGGCCGGTGATGTCGAGCAGCGTGAGTCCGGTTGTGAGTGTGGGTGTTATCAGGCCGGTGCTGGAGAGCGGTGCCGCTCGCTCAGCCGACCCACGCCGTTCTCACGCGGCCGTCTGTGTCCCTCTCACTTTCACTCACCCCCTCTCTCCTCTCTCCGTCTGCCGCAGGGTCAAGTTTGGCTTCCCGCTGGACCAAGTATGCAAGAAAGACATTCCTGGCCCGCTGCTGGTGAGCGGGGCGGTCAACAATGGGGGAAGGGAGGGCGAGGGCGAGGGCGAGGGCGAGGGCGAGGGCGAGGGCGAGGGCGAGGGCGAGGGCGAGGGCGAGGGCGAGGGCGAGGGCGAGGGCGGGGGCGGGGGCGGGGGCGGGGGCGGGGGCGGGGGCGGGGGCGGGGGCGGGGCGAGGGAGAAATCTCGTGGTCGGTGTTGTCTGGTTCGTTATTGCCCAGGCCCAGCCGGCCGGTGTGTACATTGCTGTATGCAGTCTGGCCTTGGAATGCCGGTGGAATGAGGAGTTTCGTCGGTGCGCCATTACATCACACATGCCAGTTAGCGTCTGTCTGGCACTATATCTACCGTTCGTCATTCCATGCAAGAAATGGTGAGACAGGTGGATGCGACTGGATGTTGAGCCAGTGGTGCGTCGAGCCAATCTTAATGCTGGGCATCGTATCGAACGCATAGGCTTTGCAGCTGGGTTACCAACCGTAGCAGCTAGTTGTTTTTGAGCCTGTCTCTCTGTTCTGGTCATCAGGCTGACTTTACCCGGCAAAATTTGAGCCGTAACATCACCTGGGGCTGGCTGTTTTGTGAGGCGTGTCAGACCGAATCGCGGGTTGTTCAAGGCGACTGTGCGGTCTACGGTTCGTCGACCGCATGTGGCCGATGCTGGACTGAAACGAGCGACTCAAGAAATGAGCATGCATATTGCACCAAAACTTGGCATACTTGGGTGGCGTGTGTCATATGTTAACTGTGGGGGGCAAATGAACGCGAGGAGTTGAGGCACTCATCTGTCTACATGAGCTTAATGATTTTAGCAAACAAGGATTACCTAGCCAGGCGATTTCGCGTACAGTGTATCTCACAAGTGGAGATTACCGAGACCTTTCGATAACGAAATGCGCGGAGGTAGCACATATATGATACGCAAATAGCAAAACTGAATTTGTGGAAGGGGCGCCACCAATTGGATGGGGCAGAACTGGAGCAGGCCCTACTTTACTTTTAGCTCGACCGTCAGGGTATGCGGTTCTGGTTGTTGCCTTTTCTGACCGCTGGCATCGTTGGCTTTTTCGAAACATGTGTGCGAAAATTAGCATTAATAAGGAGGCAGTCAGGTGTATTGCGCTGTATTGGAGCACGTTAAATGGTGTGATACTGGCAAGCGTCTTGATCTTGATAAGTTGTCGACGGCATGTCAGCTAGAATACATCACTCCCGTGTGGTGATGTCAGAGTCGTCGGCGCCTTGAGCGTGTGACTTGGTCCACCGGCTGATTGAGTTAGCCGCAGCCAGCGGCGCTCCAGTGGGGGCTGCCGGCCGCGCCAGCCGGTCGGTGCCCGTCTCGTCTGCTGCCGGGCCGGCCGTCCCGCCGGGCACGAGCCACGCCGCTGTGCGCCGCCGACACGGCCGCCTCGGCGCCGGACCACGGCGCCGCGCGCGGGTCTTCACAGGCGCCTCAGCCGCCGGCCGTCTGTTGACACAGGTGCTGATCTTGAAGCTGAACAAGGAGGCGCCGTACAAAAAGGACGTCTTTCGAGCGCCCGGCCACCAAGGGAACATGAAAAAGCTTGTGCACTTCCTGCAGAACGGCCGTCTCGTCAACCTGGACAACTTCAGGTAGGTGCCGCTGGGTCCGGGCGGCGCAATCCTCTCCACCGGCTGTTCCCGCGCCCTTCCAATGTGGGACCGAGTCACCACCGGAGGCTATTGTCGCCAACATTATCCCACGGCTTTTCCCAGGCCGGATGTGTTGGAGCATAAGTCGTGTTTGCTTGGAAAGCGTGTTATGGGCGGTTGTCTGTTAGGCCGGGCATGTGTCACGTTTCTCCTGCTGTATTCTGAATGGTTCGCATGAATGGGTTTACGTTCAGAGTACCTGTTAAGCGAGGCTCGCTGCTTGTGCCGGGAACACAGAACCCAAGCTGTGCCGCCTAGTTCAACGGATGTTTTCGCTTGCACGGTTTTGCCGCACAAAACTGCGGGGGGTTTTACGCGCTGCACAATTATACAGCGCGGATGCCCCGGGCCTGGGTAGGTCCCGCTGGTTGGCTTTGCCAGCTGACATGTCAAGGTCAGCAGTACCGAGCAATGCCCCTGCTCTGGATCTCGCGCCCAATGCCGCTGGACGGCGTCTCCAGCATCTTTCCCCAGACACAGAGTCGTCCACGCGTTCGTTGTCATAGATACATTTTCCGTTGTCTTATGGCTTGACAGCATGATCTCGGCCTTGCCTTTCTCCATTCTCACGATATTAGCAGGCCTGAAGATTGGCCTTCAATTCGTTCACGGTCGAGCCGTGGTCAGATGGGTATTATTCTCAGCCAGTTGGTGTTTGCAGCGTGTTTCGTTTCCTGGCTTTTATCGCTCTCGTTCGCACCGGGACTTCTGCTCCGTTTCAGCATATACACAATCGCCTCCGTGCTGAAGAAGTTCCTGCGTAAGATCCCTGACGGCATATTCGGCCTCGAAAACGAGCAGCGGCTGTTCCAGATCGTCGAGCTGGACGACCCCGAGAAACAGCGCGACGAAGTCCACCGGTGCGTAACCTGGCTTGGTACACAGCGTGGCGTGACCCGGGTCGGTACATACCGGTATGTGACCTGGGCCGGTACACAGCAGTGCGTGACCCGGGCCGGTACACAGTGGTGTGTGACCCGGGCCGGTACACAGCGGTGTGTGACCCGGGCCGGTACACAGCGGTGTGTGACCCGGGCCGGTACACAGCGGTGCGTGACCCGGGCCGGTACACGGCGGTGTGTGACCCGGGCTGGTACACAGCGGTGTGTGACCCGGGCTGGTACATAGCGGTGCGTGGCCCGGATCGGTACACACCGGTGCGTGACCGGGGCCGGTACATGGCGGTGTGCGTGCGTGTTCACGAGCAGGAGCCAGGGGTGGGTGTAGGCGGTGGACACCAGGCGGTCCGCGGCGGCCCGTGTCCGCGGCGCCACCTCGACTGTCGGGCCCCACGCTCGTGACGTCCGTGCGACGGGCTAACGTGGTGCGCCGCTGGCGGCGGCGCCGCACGGTGAGAGAATGGCCAGTGGGTCGATCGGCGGGCGTGGACGGCGCCTAGTCGGCGTGGCGCCTGTGACCGTATCGCCCGGCGTGCGGCTCTCTCTCTCTCTCTCTCTCTCTCTCTCTCTCTCTCTCTCTCTCTCTCTCTCTCTCTCTCTCTCTCTCTCTCTCTCTCTCTCTCTCTCTCTCTCTCTCTCTCTCTCTCTCTGTCTCTCGTCTCTGTCTCTGTCTCTGTCTCTGTCTCTGTCTCTGTCTCTGTCTCTGTCTCTGTCTCTGTCTCTGTCTCTGTATCTGTCTCTGTCTCTGTCTCTGTCTCTGTCTCTGTCTCTGTCTCTGTCTCTGTCTCTGTCTCTGTCTCTGTCTCTGTCTCTGTCTCTGTCTCTGTCTCTGTCTCTGTCTCTGTCTCTGTCTCTGTCTCTGTCTCTGTCTCTGTCTCTGTCTCTGTCTCTGTCTCTGTCTCTGTCTCTGTCTCTGTCTCTGTCTCTGTCTCTGTCTCTGTCTCTGTCTCTGTCTCTGTCTCTGTCTCTGTCTCTGTCTCTGTCTCTGTCTCTGTCTCTGTCTCTGTCTCTGTCTCTGTCTCTGTCTCTGTCTCTGTCTCTCTCTCTGTCTCTGTCTCTGTCTCGTCTCTGTCTCTGTCTCTGTCTCTGTCTCTGTCTCTGTCTCTATCTCTGTCTCTGTCTCTGTCTCTGTCTCTGTCTCTTGTCTCTGGTCTCTGTCTCTGTCTCTGTCTCTGTCTCTGTCTCTGTCTCTGTCTCTGTCTCTGTCTCTGTCTCTTTGTCTCTGTCTCTGTCTCTGTCTATGTCTCTGTCTCTGTCTTGTCTCTGTCTCTGTCTCTGTCGCTGTCTATGTCTCTGTCTCTGTCTCTGTCTCTGTCTCTGTCTCTGTCTCTGTCTCTGTCTCGGTCTCTGTCTCTGTCTCTTGTCTCTGTCCTGTCTCTGTCTCTGTCTGTCTCTGTCTCTGTCTCTGTCTCTGTCTCGTCTCTCTCTCTCTCTCTCTCTCTCTCTCTCTCTGCTCTCTCTCTCTCTTCTCCTCTCTCTCTCTCTCTCTCTCTCTCTCTCTCTCGTTCTCTATTTCGTTCTCGCTCTTGCTCTCGCGCTGTGCTGTACTGCGCTGCCGGGCTTCCGCCTCGTCTGACGTGCGGCAGCGCACCTGGCTGTGCCGCTGACGGCTGCGTGTTGGTGATTCCGCCGGACGCTCGGCACGCAGTGCGTGTGGTCGCCCCGTGGTGAGTTCTGGCCGCCTGTGACTTACGCGCGGGCCGCAACACCCCCGACCGCCGCTGATGTGTGCCAAGCGGGATAATGCTGCAGGCAGCAGCACTGTGTGGGAGTGTGCGCGCTTTGCGCCCTGCGTACGTGCAAACGCAAGTGCGTAGGGACCTCTGCCTCGGTGTGTGTCTATCGGTCCGTATCCGTGATGTGTCTCCTTATCTGTGAATATGTCTCTTCTCCTTTTTTCACTGCCCCCTAGTCTGTGTCCAGCATATTTAGCGCGAGCTGCATGGCTGCTCACCTCTCAGGCCATCACGCCGACCGTCCTGACGGCCGACGTCCGTTTCAGGCTTATCACCCTGCTGCCCGTCCACTCGCAGCGTCTGCTGGTGCTGCTGTTCGGCACGTTCCGCGTGATCGCCACCAACGCCGAGCGCGCACGCACCGGCATGACATCGGAGGCGCTGGGCGTCAGCGTGGCGCCCTCTTTCTTCCAGAGCTGCGTCAGCGACGGTCGCGAGGCGCGCCGCGAGGACGTGCAGCGCTTCAAGGTAGGCGCGCCCCGTCCCGTCGCCGCCTCGCCTCACGCTGGCATGGCCGCTGGCCCGTCGGGTCGCGCTGGCTACTCTCCGTCCCTGTAGCGTCTCGCGCGTGTCCTGCTGGCGAGCCGTAGCCCGTCGCCGAGCCCTGAGCTCGCGCCCCACGCGCCGGCGCTGGCACCCCCGGCTCTGCGCGTCTGGCAGCGGGACGGCCGGTCGAAGTGGGGACCGCCGGTTGGTGCCGCGCTGCGGGCTCTGTGCCGCCCTGTCCCGGGCGCTGGTGCCACTTACTGACCCTGTACGCTCGTTCCCGGGTTATCTAGGAGGAGGTGGACGTGAGTACGGCGACCTCAGTGTCGCATGCTGCATGGCTGACTGTGTGGCGGGGCGGCGTGTGCACGGCCCCGGCCTGCTCGAGCCGCCCTCGGCCTGCGCCCTCACGCCGCACGCTGTATGCCAGCTGTGGGCGTGCGCGATGCATGAACACCATGGAGATGTAGATCAAAGGCGCTCTCCGTCGCACAGCATGGATGATGAGGAGTAGAAGCAGTCTGTAAGTGTATATATGGATTTGAGCAGCTCAATGCGCTACGACCGCGCTCCGTGTTAATCTGTGGCGCCTGTTACGTATTCCAACTGTGCCGCAAGTGGGTGAAATCGGCTGAGAAGACTAAAAGTTCCACGACAGTAATACGCAGCAGCAAGTCCGTGATTGCTCCGAAGACGATCGTGCCGTAGCCCGTCCGGTTGGCGTGCGTCAGTCGCCGCCGCGTGTCTAGTGAGGAGAGTCCCGGGGGCGCCTCACACCGGCGGACCAGCTGAGCGGCCCACGACGTCGGCGTCTGGAGCCAGCGGCTGACCCCGTCCCCACGTCGCCAGGTGGCCATGCGGATCATGAAGTTCCTCATCGACAACTTCGGCGTGAGTAACCTGTTCGGCCGGGACAACTACGAGTACTACGCGCGCATCACGGGCCGCATACTGAAGGTCGAGGAGGACTGGATCTTCAGCTTCCGCTACCCGCCCGACAACATCATCTCTCGTGAGTGCCGGGCGGTCGGGGCGGGCGCGCCGCTCTCGGCGCCGGGCGGAGCGGCGGCGCTGGCGCCGGCGGCGCGCTGCCGGTCGGCGGACGCGCGCGGTCGCGCTCGGGGTACGTTCACGTGCCTGTGGTGTCTGGTGTGGGGCTGGATAAGACTGATGGGGCTGTTGCTGTGGCTAGAGAACTCTGGGAGCCTTAGTCAGCCGAAACACGGCGTGACGAAACACGCATGGCAGGTGCCCGTGCCCGTATGCCTGACGGGCACCTGACATTTGACGTCTCTCGTGATGAAAGCTCATGCCCCACCTGTATTGCCTGCCACCCCTTCCCAATCCTTGGCTTAGGCACTTAGATTTCCTTACTGTACGCTGCCCACCATGTTGGGTTTACGAAAAGCCATGCACTTATGCGACCACATTGTTGTCATATCGGTTGGGGTGCACATACACTAACTGGTCGCATCCGTCGCCTCGTGCTGTTCGGGGGGGGGGGGGGGTGGGTTGAAGCTGGCCGTGTCGTCGTGTAGGGAATTACTCGACAAGAGGCAAAGCCTGTGTCAAGTTTTGGATGTGTTAAGACTGTTGGGCACGCACACGCGTCTTACATGCTTGCGGCAAAGGTGGCGGAGGTACAAAGTTGACCGACTTGCACAAGACACTGTGGCGTGTGCCCGCTCCTCGTCGATTGCCGGCCCTTGCGTACACCGCACCTGTGGCCGGACCGGCGAGTGAGACGGCCCGTGCCCGCTCGGCAGGGGTGCGCACGCTAGACGCTCAAAGGCAGTGGATTGCGCAGGAGATGCAGCAGTGGGGCATCCGGCTCAACTTGGAAGGTGTGCGCCGGCTGGCGGCTGCTCAGACTACTAACCGCCCTGTGCTCGTGTCTCGTGTGGCCGCCCGACCCTGTACATTGCCTGATTGGTGCCTGTCTCTTCTGGCTCTGTGCGCGGTGGGCTGGCTGCGTCACGGGCGGAGGTGTGCGCCGGCGGCCGGCATGGGGGGCATGCTCGCCAGGGTACCGCTCAGCAATAGGCGCTCGGTTGGGGCCGCGGCGCGCCGACCGTTGCCGACTGTTGTTGGTGGCTTATGGCATGCGTGAACGACTCTTCCAGTCTCGCGAACTTCAGTGGTCAGGCAGCTAGGATGCATTTGTGGAACGAATGAGTTAACTTGTTCGTCAGCTACCTATGTTTTCAATGCGTTACGTCTCGGACACTGCATCAGGCTTTGCGTCGGTTAGTGTTGTTTTTTGGAGGGCTGGCGTCCATATCGGACTAGTCCAGACATGAGGGTCTGTTCATTTTGATCGGACATATTAAAATGGGGAAAGCGGCGACGCCCCGTATCTGATGCGCATGAGTTGATAGGCGTGGGTCCCCGTCTGAGCATACATTCGATGGTCGGCGACTACAAAAAAAACTAGCCGGCATCGTTAGTATCGTGTCCTGTCCCGTGTGGTGCCCTGAGCAGCTTTCGTCGTGCTTCTCTGTTGTGACTCACACCGGCGTCGCGCCGGCCGTCAGGTCTCGCCAGCGGCCTGCCGCGGCGCGTCGCTCGCTCGGTGTGCCTGCACGGTCGGCGTTCGGCTGGTGTCTGGTGTGCCTGCACTGTCGGCGCTCGGCTGGTGTCTGGTGTGCATGCTCCGCGCAGCCCCGTGTCGGCCGGACCGCGGCGGCGGCGGCTCCGCATCCCGCTTCCTCCGGTCCGTGCGACGGTGTTGAGTGTCGTCCCGACACGGACGGCCGCCGGGCAGACTGCGGCGGCGGCGGCGATGCGGGACAGTGGTTCAGACTGGTGCTCTGCTGACGATCTGGTGTCGTGTGGTTACATCCCCTTTGGCACTAGCCGTTGGGTGGGGGCGACAGTGTGGCTGCCAGTCCATGTCCATTGGCCGTGTTAGGCTGTGCCGCGAGCTGTACTGACTGGTCTTCCGAATTGTCACGGATTGTATGGGTGTTGGTGTGGATATGTGTGTGGGTGCATGCGTGTGTGCGTGCATGCGTGCGTGCGTGCATGCGTGCGTGCGTGCGTGCGTGCGTGCATATCGACGGTATGGAATATCGAGTGTGCCGGTGATATGGAATGCCGTGTGTGTCGGTGGTATGCAACGTGTGTGTCGGTGTTAAAGAATGTTGCGTGCGTCCGACGAAATTTTCCTGGGCTAGGTTGGTGCCAGTACGAGCAACGGGCCGCCCTATGCCAGACCAGCACCGTCGCCCCTGTCCGTGACCGCCGCCCCGTAATGGGAGCTGTTGACGGCCGCCGTACGCGGCTGCAGCGTCGCCTTGTTGACGTTGGCGCCGCTTCCGCAGCGATGTCCGTCCAGGAGGAGTGTCAGTCGACGCCGGCGCTGCTGCACATGCCGGACGACCCGGCGTCGGCGGCCGGCGACGGTGGCCCGTCCGGCGGCGCCGTGCCCGAGAACTCGCTGCGGCAGAGCTGCACCCGACTCAGCGTCAGTCTCGAGGAGAACGGCCTGTTCAAGGTGACCGGCTGCGCGGTCACGGCTGCTGACGACGGCGGACCGGCCGCGGCGCGGCTCCGTGTGGTGCCGGCCCGCGCTGTCGCTGTGCCTCTGCATGCGATATGGCTTTCTGGGCAGCTCCGCCTGGTGCCGGCCCGTGCTGTCGCTGTGCCTCTGCATGCGATATGGCTTTCTGGGCAGCTCCGCCTGGTGCCGGCCCGTGCTGTCGCTGTGTCTCTGCATGCGATGTGGCTTTCTGGGCAGCTCCGCCTGGTGTCGGCCCGTACTGTCGCTGTGTCTCTGCATGGGACATGACTTTCTCTAGTGCCGGTCCGTGCTGTCGCTGTGTCTCTGCATGCGATATGCTTTCTGGGCGGCGCCGCCTGGTGCCGGCCCGTGCTGTCGCTGTGTCTCTGCATGCGATATGGCTTTCTGGGCGGCTCCGCCTGGTGCCGACCCGTGCTGTCGCTGTGTCTCTGCATGCGACATGACTTTCTCTGGTGCCGGTCCGTGCTGTCGCTGTGCCTCTGCATGCGATATGCTTTCTGGGCGGCGCCGCCTGGTGCCGGGCCGCGCTGTCGCCGTGCCTCCGCATGCGATATGACTTCCTCGGCGTCTCCGCCTGGTGCCGGTCTGTGCTGTCGCTGTGTCTCTGCATGCGATATGACTTTCTCGGCGTCTCCACCTGGTGTCGGCCCGTGCTGTCGCTGTGTCTCTGCATGCGATATGACTTTCTGGGCAGTTCCGCCTGGTGCCAGCCTGCGCTGTCGCTGTGTCTCTGTATGCGATATGACTCGGCGGCGCCACCTGGGCGGTAGCCAGCAACAGTTGTCCTTCCGAGCTCGGCCCTTGCATCCAAACTTACACGTGCACGGTTTTCGTCCGTGCGTTGTGGTCGAATTGATCCGCAAATCCCGGTATAGGGTCTTGACTAACAATAGCGAGTAACAAGTACGTCCTGTATGCTCAGCATATCCTCTTGCGACCATTATGACTTGTCCTTTCATCTGATGTCCGTAACCGGTGACCTAATGGCCCCCCGGAGAGATGCTCCTGCCTCTCCCACTCCCCGGGGAAGTGGAGGGGTTGCGCCCTGCCGTGGGACCGCCGCGGACGCTGCGCCGTCGCCGGCGTGACGTGTGCAACGGGTCCGGGCACCGGCTGCTGCCGGCTGTTCCTGCCCTGGGCTGGCGGCTGGCGGGGGCCGTGCCTCTGGACGCGACCGCAGCGGCCCACTGGCGGGAAAGAGCTGCGCGCGGCGCGGCCCCTGTCAGGGCCGCGCACGGCCGCGCCCGAGAGCCGCACGTCGGGCCGCGGTCTGTCCTCGGCCGCGACACCGACGTCAGAGGCTGTGATCGGACCTGGCCGCGGGTGGGTAGGGGCTTGCGTTTGGCCTGCGCTGCCGGCACGTTCACTGGAGCTCAGACTGGCGGGCGGCTCGCGCGCTGTAAATGATGGCGAGGGCGTGCGCTGCCGCCAGGTGGGCTCAGCCGGCAGCTCCTCTACCTCGAGCTGCACGCTGAAAATGACGCTCGAAGAGCTAAAGGATATCAATAAGTACGCAGAAAGTACCAAAAGCCTGTCATTCCTACCACTGGTAAGAGGCAGCGCGCGTGTGCGCGTGACGTAGGGTGACTAACTCTCTACTAATACACTAACTCGCACCACCTTGGCGCATATCGTGCGGTTATGGTCGCTTGCTGTCAGGCGTCCTGCTCACAGTGCTTCTGATGATAGTCATGCGTCTTGCTGTGAACGTAAAGCCTATCTTCGATCAGCAGTGACACCGTGGGTTAGGCTGGCGGCCACCACGAACGGCTTGCGCGCCTGGGCGGCGTATTCTGGCCGCTTGTGCCGCGACGTCGTAGGTAGCAGCGTCAGCGCTGGCTGATTGACGGCCGGTACCGACAGGTGCACGAGCGGCAGACGGCGCGCATGCGCACGCGCTCCGAATGGTTCCTGACGCCTCTCAAGCTCAGCCTGCGCGCCGGCAGCGGCGGCGTCGCAGCGGCCGACAGCGGCGTGCTGCGTGGCGAGCGGCGCGCTAACCTGGCCGCCAGGGCGGCGCCACCGTCGACAGGTCAGCGGCACCGCCGGCCCTGCGTCTCCCATAGCCAGCTGGCTGGGTTAAGATGCATGCTGACATGTGCTGCGCTGCAGGCTGAGAAAGCACCGTGATCGCGACGCTCGCGCTTTTGGCTGACTATATTAGGCACTAGGTCGTGGCCGCGCCGCGTCAGGCGGCCTGTAGACTCACGGGTCGCTCGGGCCGGCTTGGGCCCTCCCGGGCGCTGACAGCCGGCTGTTCGACAGGTGGCGGCGGCAGCGCGGCGGACCGCGAGAAGCGTCTGGTTCGCCGCTCTTCCAGCAAGGACAAGGAGCGCCGACTCGTTCGCCGCTCGTCCAGCAAGGACAAGGAGTCGCGCCTGGTGCGCCGCTCGTCCAGCAAGGACAAGGAGAACGGCGCCCAGCTGCGCCAGGCGCTGGCCGGCGGCGGCGAGCCGGCCGCGGCCGAGGAGGCGGCGCGCCGCCCTCTCACCGAGCAGGAGTGCAGCGAGGCCAGCAACGTCAGCCTGCACGTGTCGCTCACATACAAACCGCGCATCTGATCTCTGACCGCCGCCGCCGATTCCACTCACCGATTCCACTGCCACAGTACAAAGTCGGACTGCCTTCCGCCCGGGCGGCGCGCGCCCGCCGACGGGGGCGAGCGGGCGCGTCCGTGCGCTGCGCGTGTACTGGGTGCGAGCTGGGCGGACGCCACTGGCGCCGCCTGGCTCCCGTTTCCGTCGCTTTGTCATTGTGTTTGACTCTTCCATTTTCTATTGCTGGTCGGGCGGGCCGCGGTCTGTGCCGCCCCGCCGGGGCGCGGCGGGCTTTTCTCCCGCTGGCGGCGCGCAGGGCGACAGTGCCGCGCCGGGCGGCGCAGACGGCCGCTTGGGGTGCGGGCGGGAGCGCGACGCGGTCCGGCTTCGGATGTTCCCCGCGACGGCAGGATTCCCGCTCTGTATCCACTGGCGGCGGGGCGTGACGCGACCACTGGGGCTCACTGCGGCGCGGCCGGCCGCTCGGGGACCGCGGGGGCGCGGCCCGACGGTTTCGGCTCACAGTGGGGTTGTCGGCCGCGCTCGCGCAGGCGGACTCAGGGCCTGCAGCCGGCCGACGGCAGCCGCGCGGCGCCGTCTGCCGGTGCGCCCATGTGACACGCTACAAGATATTCCACGGCGACCGTTTTTATACGTATCGTAGCTTTAATATGATATATCCGCACAGCTTTCTACACTGCCTCAGGGGCCAAGATGATAGCATTGTCTGTAATTCTAAACGGGGCAAGTGATTGTCCAGTTCTAGCATTAGCTGGGAATATCAGAAAATATCACCTGTATCGAAGACCCAAGACTTGCACCTACCGATATTGCGTTCTTGCCATCGTAGTTCACATGATTATGCGGAAAGTGCATGCTAGCTGTTATTATGTATGTTTGCGTATTTATATTGTTACCAAAAAGTTTCTAATTTATTAAAAGATTTTCGCTTCGTTTTGTGTGAGCCGTGCTATCTTTGGTATATTTTGTACATCGCTCGATGATGGTTTCTTAATAAATGCTGCACGTTTTCTTTGTAGCTGTTGCGTACTGTGAGAAGCGGCGGGTTCGTGGACGGCCTGACTGCCACGGAAACGGCCAGAACCTTTGACGCCTTACTGTCGCTCTCCACGTCTCATAGTTTTCATCCACTGACTCATCTGGTTTTTAAGCCCAATCTGACGCGGCGGCACAAAAAGCCTTCCCGTTGCAGTGACCATCAGAAAGCAGTGTCGGCCGCCTTTTGCCCGGTGGCACGACAGTCGTCCCAGATAAAGCAGTGTCGAGCAGTGTTCTCTGGTCTGTCGGACAGGCGCGCACGGAGACAAAGACAAACATGAAATATTTGCATTTGCTCTACACCTTACACCTGCTCACACCTTACACCTTACACCCGCCGTCAACGGGCACGGGCGGTGTATGCCAATGTTCAGAGACGAACTTTTGCACGTCTGGGTTGGATGGCTTACAGACTGCTCTGAATGAAATTGGAGACGGTTTAGCGAGCTATTGTTCAAAAGGCGGCATACACCTCATTTAAGCGGAAAAAGAATGAATAAATAACAAATAAATGAAAATGCTCGCGCGCCTTCCACGCGTCATGCTTGGTAACGGACAATGTGTTCGGCATCTGCATGACAAAGGTGATACAGTCGGCTGGGGTCGGCGATAGTTCGGTTGGGTCACATCGGTGGAGACGGCAGGTCAGTACACGACTCCGCGCTCCGTCAGATGTGTGCAGCGTCTCCCGACGGTGAGGGGCGCGTGCGCTGGGTCGGCTCCGACGAAGTTGCGTTGTTGCTAAGTACGATGACCAGCGCGAAAACGCAACCTTGGTTACCTGATTCGAGCCGATTTCATACAAACCAAGAGACGGAACACCACTTGGTGCAAACTCAGAGTGCCCACCAACCATGAGATATGCACAAATATCCATTGAACGAGCTTTTGCTCACTGGTAGAGTTGGGTTTATCATCCATACGTGCAGCTGTTAGGATGTTATGAACTAGCGGTGGGGACGTGTATGGTGCAGAGCACGATATTCTGCTTGTCGAGTCACATGTTCTGCTGGAATGGAGCCCAGCTGTTGCTAACTGCAACGCATGAGTGCGTCACGCATTTCGCAAGCGACCACATATGCATGCAGATTTTTTGGTGTACGTTGTGGCCTGTGTGGAAGGGAAGAACCTAAAACACCTTCCCTGCAGGAAACGGCGACCGAATTTGCGTGTCGCCGCTCATTTTCAAATCAAGCACGTCATCAAGTGAAAACGTGGAGCTACACGCTTCATTTCCTGCGCCAAGATATGTGCCCTTCGTGCACATATCGTGCTTTTCGTGGTTTTATGCGCACCTTCGCAGGAGTGCTGTCAAAATTACTACGAGTTTCGATAAATTTAAGGCTTGTGCCCCCTCCCCCCGGGGGGCAACTAGCTACGTACATAAACTAGTGGCACAGGGAGAATGCATATTTTGTTCTTGCTTACTCGGATCAGCCGAATATTCCACAGTAAAAACGAGGGGGCTGCGGTTAATTACAGTTTTATTCCTCGCATACACTGCGAATGAAAACACCTAACGGGTATGTCCAAATAATGAGCTCGGACATGAACTGATCACACATGACAGGTGGTTCGCATGGCTTGGAAAGCGCAGACGGACTCGTCGGAGCTCTTCCGTTGAGAGCCGATGTAAGCACATCGGAGCAGTAGCGACAGCTCAGGCCAACGGATCGCCAGCTGGGTGCGAGCGCATAACGCGGCCTTATCACGCAGTTGTGGAGAAGCGGTGGGGACAATCGTTAGGGCTAACGTCAAACTACCCGTACAGCAGCAGCTAGTCACACGGGGACGGGGTAAGCGCCTTTCCTCACCCCCCCCCCCCCCCCCCCCCCCCCCCCCCGGCAAAATCATCAGCCCAACACCTGTTGTCATGACAATCGACAACGGTGGCTCAGCTATGAAAACTAATGACTCATGGAACGTTATTGCTCTCGAGGCAAGCGACCTTGAGGGGAGAATCGGCATCGCCCACATCGTCGTCGGCAGAAGCTCGCTTCGATGCCGCCCATCTCGGGATGAAACAATACTGGATAGTCTCCATGTGTTGCCAAGACTGCGCCTCGCTCTCAGTAACTGAAAACGCAAGCGCCACGCCGAAAGAACTATATAAGCACGCATGCTACACGTAATGCACGTACACGTACAAATATACAAGTACACTTACATGCTCTCCACGGACATCTGACGAACGATATCATCGTTGGGAGCTAGCGATAACCTTGCTTCGCCGCCGAGGGGCAGGACCGCGTCACCTGCAGGCGGCATTTCTGAGGCCACAGGAAAACAACATGGGTAACGCAGTGAAATCCGGCATAGCTGGGAAAACATTCGTTGCGCATCTTTTGCACATTAATGTGGTTCCAGCACACGTCGGGTCACTGAGCCCATATTTGCCAAGGCTCGCAAAGCAAGCTTTACGACACATGCCAGTTTTTTAATGCTGTTCATTTACAGTAAACGGTATCTTTGAGCACGGCAGCGTACACAATCACAGTCTACAGATAAATATGCCCCTTTTGATAGGCCAATCACCTTTCTAAGGTCGACAAGGCCATGACCTATGATAGAGTATCTGCCTTCGATTGGCCCTAGATCTCTCTTCCGCTGATTCTGAACAGCTGATCTGAACGCTGATTCCGCTGAGCTGATTCGAGAACACGACTGTATGAAGTTTTTTGTCGGGGGGTGCTGTTCTACGTTCCGAGTCGGAATTTTTTACTTAACATTCCCAAACAATAAAGTTAACATGACCTGGAAGGTCGCTAGTTGACCCCACTCCATCACAGGACATAGCTGGATTTCTTCAAAACCAGGACATACGTTGGTTTTGTTACACAGCTCCGGCCCAGTTTGCGGCCTAACAGCGTGGAGTTGCCTAACATCCCACTTGCCAATCACGCGGATCAAGATGCCTGGAAATGAAAGCCGCTGCTTTTCGGGAAGAGGGACACACCATCCCAGTTCCACGAAAAGACCCCGCACCTTGATGCCAGACACATGTCCCGATCAGAAGCTCCTCGGTTGCGTATTGATCTTTGGATAATATCACCGGTCACCCGTCTCTACAGACAGTGCACCAACGCCAAGTACAGTCAACGAAACTGAGAGCTGTCGACGCACATGCCATTTGTGTGCTCTTCTCACCAACCACTTCCAAGATATCACCACATTCATTCGCCACTCTATGTGACTAGCCGTGTACCATCTAATCTTAGTGCGTTTTTGTACTGTAAATGTCCCCTGTTCAGATGTTACACTGGTCATCTACGGACCTATCTCCAAATGGATTATGCATTCCAACATTACCATGCTATCTCTACAATGAGACCCATATTACAAGTGGAATAGCTTCTGGGTGCTACAGCGTCAACCGCAGCCTCGCCACTGCCTGCACACGACCCCATGCGGTGCACCGCTTGAGCCGTCCTCTAGCGCACACCAGCATGAGCAACACTGGCTGTCCAGTGCCGGACGGAGCCCACGCCGAGAAGCAGACAGAAACACACACTGACTGCATCTGGCCGTCGGCTGCTGCGGCAGCGCCGGTCGGCCAGCGGCTTGCACGCCAGCATGGTGATTGGTGCACTTCCGATTGGCGGTGTACGACTTTCAGTTCGGCGCTCGCGGCTGCTGACTGGTGCGGCTCTGGTGAAGCTACGGCGAAGCAGTTGTTGATCTGCCCAGCTGCGACACGCCGGCTGCTGGCTGATCTAGCTGCGGTGCACCGGCTGCGGGCTGATCTAGCTGCGGCGCGCCGGCTGCTGGCTGACCTAGCTGCGGCGCGCCGGCTGCTGGCTGACCTAGCTGCGGCACGCCGGCTGCTGGCTGATCTAGCTGCGGCACGCCGGCTGCTGGCTGATCTAGTTGCGGCACGCCGGCCGCTGGCTGACCTAGCTGCGGCGTGCCGGCTGCTGGTTGGCGCGGCCGCCGTAGCGCCGCGTGCGGCCGACCTTGACACCGCGCGTAAGTGATCGCTCCAACACCAAGTCGTACTCGTGCAGCGAGGCCATGATTTGCGCCAGGAACGAGGACAGCTCCGGGTCGCGCAGGAACGACGCCTCGTCGTACATCTGCTGCGTCACTGAGCACGCCGCCAGCTCAACGACGAACGTCGACAGCTGCCGGTCCCTGCCGAGCGGCAGTGGCCGGCTGTCAGCCTCTGCCCACGCCCCTGGCGGCCGCACCATCCGCACACGCAAGGTGCACGCCACAACGCTGCGACGGCTCCCGTCAACCCCCTGCCAGCTCATCGAATGATGGGCTGGCATTGTGATTGCGCGCCGACTCGAATACTTATGCTCTGTGCGAGTCAGGGGCGGTGATAAAGGGGCTTGACTAGGCGGCATACCGCCTGGCCGGGCAGCAATATAGAACACGAGGGGTTAAGTGCCATTAGCATCCAGGACATTGATACATCATGAGGCAACGAAGCCCAGCCGGCTTCAAGCCGAGGCACAGGGCTTACGCTTAAGTGAGCCTATGCGACACGCTAGTACTAGTACTAGCCGCATCTGAACCAGTTTGCACTTCCTACCAACAAATCGATAAGCACCAGCCTTCATCGGAGCCCATTTCACCATATCCCAATGTCAAGTTCACCTATGGCATTGAAAATGACACCAGATTACATCACTACTGCGCGTAAAACAATCACGGCAACCGGTGCCTGCTACTGATGTGCCTGTATGTACCTGCACCGGTGTCTGCCTTGTACCTGTCGTCACTCCAGTAGCGCCGCGAGCACAGTAACAGCTCGCGGCACCGCCGTCAGCCGTCATATACATGTCGTGCCGAAAAATAAGCCCTGACATTTTCCCCCTTGACCTGTGACATTTTTCCCCTTAACTTCCTGAACTCTGCTGAGCGCTGCACCCAGCCGTCTACGCGCTCCAGATCGCGCCGCACTGTCCTCCCGCACTCCGCAACTGTCGGCCACTGCATGTCCAGAGTGGGACCTCACCTCACGGCGATCAGCAGCCAGACCTGGAACTTGTCGTCCTTGCCCATGGCTCTGCCGGCCTGGTCGATCTCGTACACCAGCCGGCAGATGGCCACCTTGGTGGCCAGCTCTGCCGGCAGCTCGCCCTCCCGGTCCAGGAACTCGGCCTCCAGCGCCAGCTGCACCCGCCCTGGCCGGTCCACAGGCTCGCGTCAGGGCACGACCCGGCCTGGCGTTGGCTCACACACCCCCGCTGCCCCGCCGACCCGGCCGACTGAGGTGAGACGGAGAGGTGCGGCCACACCGATCCGTCAGCGGCACGTCCTCCCGGCAGGAGACGCTGGCACCAGCCCGCAGGCCCGCCTCCCGCCCCACCCGCGCGGACCGCGGGCGACAGCCGTGGCGTCCTCAGGCGCTGGGGTGACAGCACATTACACGGATATCCGAAACATCAGCCCTCGTGGACAGCTAGTTGTTTCAGATTTGTCGTAACTATTATCAAGGCAGCTAAATCAAACGGTCATCGTTAAGGAAAAGCGCACATTTTCTTCATTTGTTCCAACCGCACAAACACTTTACTGGCCACGCCACCTGGCGCCAAACTCGAAACGGCGCGCTCGTGGATACGACGCGCCGGCCTGGCAGACGACACCCGCTTACCGAGGTAGTCCCAGAGGTAGAAGTTCTTGCCGAAGAGCCGACTGGACCGGTAGCCATAGCCGAAGACCTGCTCGAGGCAGGGCACGAGGCCGCTCTCGCCGCACAGCAGGAGCGTCAGCGAGCCGCGCTCCTTCTCCGGACGGTGGAAGTACTTGACGATACTGTTGACGGCGTCCCCTGGCCGAGCCAAGCGGTACCAACGTCACGCACAGCGGCGCACACACCGCCGTGCACGCACGTACACAGCGGACTGCGTTAACACATGCACACACATACACGTACACGCACACGTCCGCATATACGCACACGCACAGCACAGCTCTGTGGTCCCCGCTCACAACTGAAGCATGACATCGATAACTGCCCAGGAGCGGGCGTGGCCTCTGAGAGCCTCGCGGGGAACGGCCTTCGCCAGTGACAGCGAGCCGCCACCGGCCATCGTGCGGGCCGGCGGCGGCGGCCGGCTCACCTAGGGCGTGCTGGACGGAGCTGGCGTCGGTGTGCGGCCGACGCGGCACGCTGGGGCTGCGGCAGCGCGGCGGCGTGCTGCACACGGACGCCAGCCGCTCGGCGGGCACGTCCGCCGACACCGGCTCGCCCACCAGCACGCGCTCCGTGCTGCCGTCGTCGATGCTGCGGCCCAGCCAGCGGCCGCACGCGAACTTGTACGTCTGGCCGGTCACCTCGCTGCGCACGACCACGTGCTCCACCAGCCAGTTGGGCGACATGCCCGTGTTGTCGTGGCCCAGCTGCACGGTGGTGAGCAGGCCGAGGTTCTTGTGCTGGCGGTGGAGGCGAACGGCCGTCGGCGGGCGGGGGGCGACGCCACGGCGGACCCACCGCCGGTCCGACCAGCCGACCTCAGCAGGTCAGACCGAGCTGAGCCGGTCAGACCGGCCGATTTCAGCAGGTCAGACAGAGCTGAGCCGGTCAGACCGGCCGATCTCAGCAGGTCGGACCGAGCTGAACCGGTCAGACCGGCCGATCTCAGCAGGTCAGACCGGCCGATCTCGGCAGGCCAGACCGAGCTGAGCCGCTCAGACCGCGCCGAGCCATCTCATTAAACGGCAGTGCACATCAACCAACACCCTGAGGCGGAGCGCACTTTCTAAGCAACAGCGGCGACACTACACGACAGCAGACAGTGGGTCGCCTCGACCCCGTCTGTCTCAAAGCATACGATACCATGACCAAACCAGAGACGGAAATCCCCGTCCGTCTGGTGGTGACGCCCATTCGTTCCCAAAACCCGCGGCTCGGCAACACGCAGCCTTCTGGCGCTCTCTTTTCATCGCACGCCGACATCAGCGCTTAACACCGGCCAGCACACAGTCCGCCCCAAGCGTGGTGAGTCCCCCACTGTCGGACGCAGTGGTGCCGCTATGGTACAGCTGTACCGGATCCGGCACAAGTTCTGATCACCACGGGCAAAGCATGGTCAGCTGCGCGCCTGTCAGCGTGACAGCAGACGTCACCGACACGACCGCTCCGTACGCGTGGAATAACCCTACGACAACGTCACCAAACGTCACCGGTCACCGGCCACCGGTCACCACACATAAGTCAGCCGTGTGACGCCAGGCTGGCCGGAAGTTTCGCCTGTTTCCTGCCTTGTAACGTCACCAGACGTCACCGGTCACCGGTCACCACACATAAGTCAGCCGTGTGGCGCCTGGCTGGCCGGAAGTTTCGCTTGCTTCTTACCGTGTAACGTCAAAGACGGACATACAGAAGCCGTTCGCGTTTTCCATGAGGCATGGTGGATATTACGCGATATACCTGGGCCTCTCAGGCGATAGTCACGAAAACGTAGCTAGGATAAAAATGGTTGATAACATCATGCTCTAGCTAGACTCCTGATGAGGCCTTCTTGCAGTGCCGTCCGCACTATCCCACGTGACGGCTTGTTGCGTTCCCGATCATTCGTTGGCGATCGCTTTTCGCACCTCCGAGTGTTTACTAAATAAGTAAACGAGTGAAACACATCTCAAAAACAACGATCCACTCACAGCGGTATTCGTTAGCTCAAAACGCTAAGAAAAGAAACTGGTGCCCAATCTGGTAACTGTCATGGCTGATCTCGAACGGAACCAGGAAGATCTGGCACACTTCAGGCTGTGGTCCGCCAAGCTGTGCAGAATACCCACGGCAACGCTGGTAGGAACACGGCTGGGCCATACGTCTGTCGTGCGGCGGGTACGGCGTGGACGTGGATCAATGCGGATGTGGCGGGCCGCAGGGCCAGACACCGCGCCAGCCAGCCCGCCTCGGCCGCCAGCGTCCCGGCTCACCTTGAATGTCGTGTGCCGCGCGCCCTTGGGCAGCGGTAGCGGACCGGTCTCAGCCAACGAGCCCGACACGCGCACCCAGGCATTCGCTGTCGTCGTCGCCGCCGACGTCTTCTTGGTCGTGAAGATCACCACGCGGTACGTTATCACTGAAACGGGAGCCGGAGCAGGGTGACAACGCTATCTACCCCAGTGAGCGTCAGAGCGACACACAGGAATGGTGACTGAAGTAAGTGTCAATAAGTATAGCAAAACGGTCAGCATTCACACGAACAAACATTCGGGTTATGCATAGATAGCACAGATGGTGGGAGATACGTAATGAACGAAGCGAGGCGAGACGAGACGAGACGAGACGAGCCGAGACGAGACGAGACGAGACGAGACGAGACGAGACGAGACGAGACGAGACGAGACGAGACGAGGCGAGCCGAGGCGAGACAAGACAAGACAAAACGAGACAAGACCAGGCAATAAAGACAAGACAAGACAAGATAAAACAAGACGAGACGAGATTAGACGAGGTGAGATGAAGACACATCTGACGTGGTGAGCGTGTCAAAACTGTGATGAATGACAAAACCGAAATATATGCAGCCTACACGGCTATCAATGGCACACCATATCACAGGGATCGCGGCGCCCACATCCAAAGACAGCGAAGGCCCAGCACCCAGCACAGCAGCCGCTCCGACGGGAGGGGCAGCTGCAGCGCAGCCCACTCACCAGTATTCGGGTACGATGTGGTGAAGCAGAAGTAGTCGACGGCGTTCAGCGACAGCAGGTGGCACAGAAACTGCTCCCGCTCCTCTTCAGAGCGCAGGAAGGCGTACCGCTTGTAAAGGTTCCTGGCCATTGCCGGCAGAGGAACACATATGATAGCCTTAATGGTAGTAATATTCATGGTAGTTGTACTAAAACACACACCCTGGAACCCTGGAACTGGAGCCCTGTGATGAACACGACTAGCAGTTCAAAACCAGATGATGATCACTTCGCAACCGAGGTTCTGTTCACCTCCAAAAACTAAAAAAGGCTCGCGTTCGTACCATATTCTGCATTATGATTCACCTTTTGTGCATATGAATACTACATACATAATACAATATCACATGATATTCTACGCTAAAACACGCCGCCCATGTCAGAGCTACGCACACTGACCCACCCACTTCCACGGCTTTGGCAGTGGGCGGCCTCACTGAGACTTCCTCGCACGCGGTGTGCACAGCAGCTTTCCGTCATTCTATCGCACCGCCGGTTATTGTGTTCCGCGTACAGTTGGCCTGTCCTGGGCAGACCGGCATCACCGCCGGCCGAGGCAGCGCCGCCCACCTGAGCAGCTCGTTGTCGGAGAGCAGGGCGCGCAGGTGTTTGGAGAGCAGCTTCTTCTCCAGCGAGAGCCGTACCCACGCCCTGGCGTAGCCGATCTCTGTCTTGATCTCGCTCATTGCCAGCACGTTCCTGCCGCACGCCCACAGCCAGTCGAGGTCAGGGTCAGACGAGGTCGTGGGGACTCGCCAGTCGGCGTGAGGAGAGGGACACGAGCCGTAAATGGGACTGGACAGGGCGCCGATCGCTGGCCGCTCCCTGACGTAACGGCCGAAGGCCTGGTACCCTGCTACGGCCCTACAGCAAAGATCGGGCCACATCATGGCCACAGTAAGCTTGGCAACAGCTACGGAGAGGAGTACTCGAGACCGGCCATTGTAGCGCATGTACCGTCCAAATATGGGTACGTGCTTTGGTTTCGGCCGCTACAATCGGCGTCAAAGACCACAACACAGGCCACGCATGAAGGCTGTGACAGCTTATCTAGTCCAAATAACGCCAGACCCAGCACAGGATCGGGAGAGAGACAGCCCATCCATCACGTCAGATGTAGCACCTAGCCACAATCATTGATCGCAGATTACACACTGGCCCGATTCGTGATCCTATTACCGTCGGGCGACAGCGCCGGCGTAGCGGCCGCTGACCTCATGTCGAACGTGATGGCGACGGGCAGAGGCTTGAGGGGATCGGGCGAAGCTGGCGAGCGGGGCCCATCGCCACCGCCACCGCCACCGCCGCCGCCGCTGCCGCTGCGCGACGACCGCGACGGCGAAGGCGGCGTCGAGTCCGGCTCCAGCGACATCGAGGACAGATCTGCCGCCGACACATCACGCCGTCAGATCAGGTCACGTGGCCAGCCGCTACGCCGGCGGCGACAGGTCGGACGGGCGCGGTCCGGCCAGAGGAACAGAGCGTGTCCGCGGGACGCCGGCGTCGCCGACCTCACGCCAGGCGGGACGGCTCGGCACGCCCGTCACAGCCCGATCCCTACACGAGTACGGACCGCGCGGTCCGGACGGCACATGACTGACAGCACGAACGAAATCAGCGTTAACGCTCATTAGTAACGAAACACATAGAACAATAGCATATTCCATGATTTACAGGTTCGTTTCCATAAGCGGCGTGAACAGATTTTGTATATAAGCCAAACATGTCCATCTCGTCCGTAATTAAAAGGCATTCCAATAGCCGTTACATCACAGCTTGCGCTCATCGAAGGCTTATAAAGGACGACCTTCTCTGCAAACAGGCCGTGCAGTTCTTCTCCAACACGCGTCCAGCACAGGCGTTCATCGCCGCAACGGCAACACACCCCGAACAAGATTATGACGAAATGGAGCAAAAGTGTTCTTCAGCTTGGTTAGTTCTGAGCCGATCTTGCAGCGCATCAGCCCGGCTGAGATTGTAAGGTGTGACAGCTTCATGCAGAAAGCAGAGCCAAGGACACCATGCACGCACAACGCCCCTCCACCCAGCGTACAAACTGGCCGAACAGCGCAGGCCCCACAAACATGCAGCAGGCATGGCGCGGCGTGCAGGGTCACCAGCAGGGTCACCAGTGGGCTGGACAGGTCAGAGCGGACCTTCAGCCACCAGGGGTACAGGAGGGGACGGACGTGAGGCCAGAGTGAACCTTCAGCCGCCGGGGGTACAGGAGGGGACGGACGTGAAGCGTGCATACCATGCCGGACGCGGACGCGGGGCCGCTCCAGATCAGCGCACAAGCACACATGCACGTGCGTGCACACCACATACCTATGACATCAGCTATGTGATTCACGATGTCAGCCATGCCGCCCTTTCTGACGACCGCCAAGAGGTCAGCGATGCTCTGGCTGGCGGCCGCCGCTGGCTCGGCTGCGCGGTGCGACACAACGGCCGCAGGAACGCGCGGCGGAAATAAACAAAAATAAAAATATGCACGGACAAGGACAGCAACATCCGCCTGGGGCAGACCATCTCTGTCCGGGGGATGAGACCACAGCACAATATGCGCCGACTTGTAGTGAAAACGAACAAAGAACTACAATTATTTTTCGCTCAATTACACAAAGTTTCAGACAGAAGTACGGGAAACAAACGCGAACTACGACCAACTGGCGAAAGTTGCACCCAATGTGTTAAATGTGTTCAATGAATACCGGCAGCGTCATGATCTATACGTAGTTCAAGATGAAGAAATCACGAAAAGGAAAAGCCTGTGGCTCAGCGCAGCTTCAAGGGAAATGTATGTGCATACCAGCACTTTTACTGGACTTATTCCTCGTTGATAGGTGAAGAGTGTGAAAATGAAGACACCTTGATAAGCACCTGCATTACGGTTCCCATTTGATTTCTTAAGCTTGTTTTTAATGAAAAACTCTTTAAAAACTTTTAATGAAATACACTTCTTGCAGCTTGTTGTATTGTTTTCTTCATCAAGAAGTACACAAAGGTGGGTTTAATTCGCTGCTCGTCCATCGATTACACTGTATTGACAAAGGCTTGTGGCCCAAAAATAAACATAAATCTATTTTCACCTTTTCTCATCTATCACAGGGAATAAGGCTCAGACAAGTGTTTTTATCAACCTAATTTAGAATGAAGGAAGCTGCTTAGCGCCTATTTCAGCGACTTCTCTGACGTTAGTGCACGGCGTCTACATGAGAAGCAATGAAAACTAACGTAACTCAAATGTAACTTTACACGCCTTGCCGTTGCCGGCAACAGAGCAATGTTTCATCAATTTGTTTCACGTTGCAGTCGGAAAATCAAAATTTTGTCCCTACCACGCTAACGTTTTTCGTCATTCAATCCGATCAAAATAATATTATCAACACGTATCGAATGGTAGCAACGTGAACATACATGTATCAACCATTGTTGGTTCTGCACATGCACGTCACTGCGGATTATGACATCACAATGTCAGACCCTCCTTTTCAGCTGGCTGCGTCTGCCACTTCTGATCCCAGGTGACGTGATGACCCGAGGTACCGAGGTCAGCGATGAGAGGTGAGGCAGGTCGGTGAGTACAAATTTGGTCACGCGCCACCTGGCGTGTGCCTGGGCCCGCTCGCGGACAGCTACGACACATAATCGATAACTATCCAGGCTGGATTCCCTCTTTTTATGAAGCCACGATGTGACTTGACGGAACAGCAGATCGCTTTGGAACATTGACCGGGCACCTCCGCCGCGTGTCCGCTCTGGCCCAGTTGGAAAGTTTATTTTGCCTATGCGCTCGCAGCAACTTTGTCCTACTGCGTCAAGCTTTAGTTCAATGTTCTGTACCACGGTCCATATGCCATGCAGGACATACCCAACTCATACCAGCGCATCCGTTGATCCACATCGCAAGGCGCGTTGATCTCATTTCATCAGCGCAGCGCAGCGAAAGAACGTGACACACTGCAAGGATTCTCAGGACTCCCTAACCCGAATCGGTGTTACCAATTGATGCTTAAGGCGGCACGACTTCAATCGGCGCAAACGGCTAGCAAGCTGTGATCTAAGCCAGATCAGTTTTGTCCCAGCATCTACAGCGGAGATCTACACGCGCTGAAATGGCGTTATCGATCCTCTGAATACTGCAGCCGATTGCTAAATCATTTGCATGCAATGGGCACGTCTTCACGCCTGTTTTGGACAGGTTTCGAAAGATGCGCTTGGAACCACGGCCTATGACTGGGCGCAATGGTGGGGAACGCTGCTGTGGCTGGCGCTTTCTGGGTTTGAAGCCGCGAGAAAACAGACCCAACTTCAGCTACACCCCTGCGCATATTTGTAAACTGACCGCCATTTTCCCTGATTTCAAACATATGGCTACCGGTCTCGGAGCTGATATTAACCCGGGCATCCCGCGGCTGACAGTTCTGATTGATACATGCAGCGGTGAACGGCTAGCCAATGTGCGGGGATACAGCTGGCTGGTCGCACGTGGGTCGGATCTGGTGACCGCACGGCTCGCCGTTCTGGATGGGACCACACGCTGGACCCCTGTGTCGGAACGCCGGGCCGCGGCGGCCCGTTCTGTGAGGTGAGGAGCGCGCGATGACTCCGGCCCATGCTCAGCCCGGCCCGCCAAGGTTCCAACAGCCTCCCAGTGCTGAGGAGCTCATCGAGCGTGCGAATGGCGGCCAGGGTCAAGGTGAAAAGGCCGCCAACATGCAGCACACACCGGGCATACCAGCGACGCCCCAGCACCCCAGGGCGGGTCTTCACCCCCGGCCGCGTGCAGCCCACATGCAATCGTTAAGGACAAATAACATCACAACATGACGACAAAGACCCCGTGCACAATATTTATGACCGCAACAATATCCGCTGTTTCTGAACACTACAGCATATCTAAATTTCATACACACCATGCCTAAAAAACAAGACACACGCATGCAAATAACGAAAACATGGCCACCCTGTGCCCAAGTGCACAAAGCACGTAAACCTACAGTCGATCCGGCGCCGGAGCACACACCACGCCAAGGCTGCATGAAAAGAGACCATCATTGTTCGACGAGTGCGCCCAACATCTCCTGAGGGAGCACTCCCGCGCAGCCGTCATCAGTGCCAGAACGCCACCCGTGGCCAGCTGAGGGCCGGCCGCCCGGTCCCGCACCCTGTCGGGCGTCCCGAGCCGCGGCGCGTCCGCCCAGCGCAGCCCGCCGGCGCCGGCGGCGCTCGGTACAGACGGCAGCACGTCGGTCAGCCGGGCGCGCCGCCGGCGGTCAGCAGCGCACACCGCTCACCTGGGCTCAGGAAGTTGGAGTCGATCGGTTGCGACGCGTCCTTGCAAGTCTCCAGCTCCTGGTAGTTCAGCAGGTGCGACCACAGCGACGACTTGCCCTGCCGTACAGGCGACGTCACAGTGCGAGTGACGTAAAAGGCGGTAATGACGCCAGACTGGGTGCGACGACATTCGCTGTAGTTCATCGGACACGACGCCAAAGGTGGCGAAAAATATCCTAAACCCTTTTCCGCACCTCATTAAGTCAAGCACGACGCACCATCAGAGCGATACCCGGTGTCGTCATCCTTTCGCATGCTCGTTCCTAGCCATCGTTGCCGACCTCGAATGATGTCACGCGGACGCATCACACGGGGTTTTTCAACCACCCCGCTTGCACGGTGGCATCATATATAGGTATTAATTTCACCTGACGTTAAAATCTCATAATCGTGCTACATGATTATCCACGAATGAAACCGGAGAGCGCACAGCGTTCACGTCAATCTTGGGCCACGTGAGACCACTGGCCGCCAGCTGCTGTCCGCCGCCCTGTGCCGCGCGCTGGCACGGTCTGGCGGCTGACTGGCAGCTGCCGTCTGCCGCCCAGCGCTGCGCGGTCGCACGGTCCGGCGGCGGCCGGCGGGGCGGGCGGACGCCGCACCTGTTTACTCTGCAGGCCGTGGCTCCAGATGCGCTCCATGAGGTCGCACAGCGAAGCAATCAGCGTGTTCTCCTCGACGCCGACGATGCTGGCCTCGCCGTGACCCAGCGCCGCCGCCTCAGTGCCCATCTTCTCCACCAGCATGCGCTTGGTGCGGCTCTTGCACTCCTGGCGACCGGTCGGGGGTCAGAGACTAGTGGGCCGGGTCACGAGCGCACCAGCCGGACACACCTCAGAGTTCTAGGAACGCCGGACATCCATGTGACCGTTATCAGAGCACGGCTGGAACAGTCAGAACTGCTTCACACCGTCCCAGCGCCTCTCGGCCACCGCTCGGACACACGCCCGCACAGCATCCTGCCCAACATGCGCGTGGGGCGGGGGGGGGGGGGGGGCAAGAGGGGATTTAGTAACCACCCAGCCGATCAGGTCTATCCCACCCTCGGCGCACATCGTCAGGGACGGTGGTATTATAACCCACCTTGAGCGCCTGGTCGACAAACTTCCAGTTGTTTTCACGCATGGCGGCCAGCGATGTATTGGCGATGAGCGGCGCGGAGCTCTGCAGCTGCTGGCGGGCCTCGGAGAAGACGCGCTGGCGCTCGCGGCGACGCAGCGACACGGCCGACTCCAAGTCGCCGCCCCTGTCCGGTCCGACATCGGTCAGACGTACACACGGCGGCAAGTGCCGTCACACACGCATACACGACGGGTCGCCGCCCCGGTGCGGCCGACACTGGTGCAAAGGCCGAGTGACGCGCACGAGCACGCAGCATCTACCACCGGCAGGGCCCGGCGGACCGAGTCGGGCCACGGCCGGCCGGCTCCGCAGGGCGGCGCGCCGACTCACCGCTCGTCGCCGGCGGCGCCCGAGGCCACCAGCTCGGCGTCCAGCAGCGGGAAGCGACCGCTCAGGCAGCTGCGGCCGTCGGCGGGCGGCGCCAGCGGCGGCGGCGGCGGCGCCTGCTGCTCGGGCGCGCGCAGCCGCCGCTCCAGGATGCGCTCTGTCTCGCTGATGGTCGAGCAGCGCTCGTAGGAGGGCGTGCGCACCAGGCCCTCGCTCTCCGTCCTGCCACAGCACCGACGGCGGATGAAGAGCCGCCCAGGAGCCACCGCCACATCGGCTGTCGGGGAGCCCCCAGCACCGCCAGCAGAGCCGACGGCACTCTCCAAACACGCTCGGTTCAGCAGCGGAGAACAGACGCCTGAGATGCTCCGGGCCACAGCGACCGAGCAGAGGCCAGAGCACGCGGCCCGGTCGGCTCGGCCCTTTGCTGGCAGCGTGCATTGCGGTTGTCATTTTGCACGCTCGAACCCCTTTTAACCGCTCCTGTTGTACCCGATGAGAGCATCATTACTTCATTGGACCACAAGATTAGCTCGCATTAAGCCCATCTGAAACACCGGTGACAAAACGCTAGACCGGTTTCGCAAGAGCCGCTGGCAGCCAAACTGCGGCCTAACAGCGCAGTTTCTTATGCTATTCCTGCTGCTTACATGCAGCCAGTCTGCTTTACTGGAACGTGTATTTAGCGAGTGCCATGGCAAAGTGACTGGATAGCTGCCAGTGATTTCGATTGTCTATTTTTCAGAACGCTAGTTTACTTTCATAGTGGCACCCCATTGGTATTTTAAGTCGTGTTAATGCTTCCCTACACCCTCTAAGATCAACCAATGCTTTTAAATGTTTGAATGCATTTTGTTTCCGCTCGATTCTTGCACCTACATCACAGGACAAGTTTTCAGATCCCAAACACTTTTTGGTTGTCAAACATCGTAGCTGTAGTAGGCGGCGCCTTCAAATGGCCCAGCGCCACGAGCAGCGGGCGGTGGCCCAAACGACCGGCCCGTACTTATACTCTCCGCTGCGTGTTTCGCGTAACAAACAGCAGGACTGCTTCGAGAGCGTTTGAGCGTCGACATACTATCGCGCAACATAGAACAGACACAACTGAAAGTGCTCGGCACGTGGCGGAGACGGACGGTACGCTACAGTGCAGCAGGCGGGCGCCGGTGTCGGCCGCCTGACCGACCTGATGCGGCGAATACGGGAGTCGAAGACGCGCAGCGCCGGCTCCACCTCGCCCCAGCTGGACAGGATCTTGTTGTCGACGAACGAGGTGAACATCTGCGTCTCGATAAAGCGCGAGAGGAACGGCAGGTCCTGGTGCGGCTGGTCCGACAGGAACGTCACCTTGTCGAAGTTCTGAGTGGACTCGCGGTTGTATAGCCACGACTCCATGTCCTGAGCGAGGTCAGGTAGGGTGAGATGTCACGGAAGACATCAAACAGGTACACTGGGAGCCCGCTCAAACAGCCGCGCGCGACCCGACAGCTTTCAGCTGAGCCCACGTGTGGAGCTCCAATTGAGTGCTTCACTCAAATTAATACATATGTCGTGCAGATACGCGCAAACCTGTATGTTATGCTGCTGCTATCGGAATGACACATCAACTCCACCATTTTAATGTTTATCACAGTCACCGGTTCTTCAATTGCGACGGTGATGTGACATGTCTTTACATTTCCAAGACTTGTTGTCTATACCTTGCCCTGGCCCTCCCCCAGCTATACGTTTAGCCCCTTCGCTTCGCTCCCATCTGTTCGCAGTCGCGTATATGTCAAACTTGTGCGCTTCGTGCAGTAAGTTGCTGCCCATGCCAAGCCCTGTGACAACTCCGACCATGACCTCCCTAACACCAGCACACATATAAACGGTGAGCACTGTAGGGAATTTCATTTAGAGATGATGATCAGCGCCTTAATCATGTCACGCAAACCAGACTTCATGGAACAAGTCAATTCATCATCCGTCACGTTGGTGCGCATTGCTGGCATCACTGCAACCCTAATGTGAACAGCAACGATGCGCGGTTACGTGAAACAGCCCAAACAGCTGCCACGCTTTCGCGACATGTGAACATTGAAACATGATCCAAGTGACGACGGCGTTCGTTAAATACTTCAATCTACTGTGGCACCTAAAACGGGCGTTACTGCTGTTGATTGAGGTTTTCTGGCCCGCCGACTGCAGTGATCAATATAGCAAGACGCTCTCAGCTCTCTCGTCTCACGTTTACGCACCAGAATACGGCCCTGGTTCTTGAGTCTTCGTAGTCTGAAGATTGCGCTTTGGATGTGTCGAAACTCTATGCTCGCCGAACGTTGGCGCTAGCTTTTACTATTGCCACGCATATTTTGCTACCTCAAATTTTGCTATATTCTGTTCAGATCAAGATCAAATCGAGGTTCAGACAGCAAGTTGTCATCGGTCATATCCCCGAAAAAGAGATGAGAATACGGTTTTATGAATGCAAACGTCGACGATGTGTGCAATCACGTGTGCGACCACGAAGCACGCAGGGTACTTACGCCAGGATGTGCTTGAGAAGCACCCTGGCGATTGACTCAAAAGATAACACATTTTGCGACCCGTTCAAAAAATGCACACATTGCAAACTAGCGGTTCAATACCCTCTGCATATATATATATATATATATATATATATATATATATATATATATATACGTACATATATATTATATGCATATACATATCATATATACACATTATATGTAATATGTACATATATCATATACAAGTACACACCATATATATATATATATATATATATATATATATATATATATATATATATTATAGATACATGTGTGTATACACTCTCAAGACGTTTGCAGACTAGCATTTGCTTCGTGCATCTTTACCGGTCACAACATCATCATCATCACCATTATCATCGCGCGATCGACGGGAGAAATAGCATAGCATAGCAGACATGAAACATTCCAAGTACTGCTCCATACAAGCTAACCACTGAATCCCATCCCATTTCACTTACTTGATCCGGCTGGATGACAAAATGCTCATATGTGTGAAAGATATGAACGAAACGGTTGAGGAATATCTCTCGTATCGCGTTATTGCATTTTTGATCTTCGATGTACTGATCACCGTCAGAAAGACGACGAGATGAAGCTTTCAGTGACAGCTTTTCCGGGTCAAGACCTGTAAACACGAGCCACAGCCACATGCATTGCTTGGCTCCAACGTTTCGAAGCCAATAGCGGCATGCATCGCGATAAAAAAAAACACTCGGCTACTCACGTAATCAGCAAAATACATAATCGTGGATGGAACCAAGTGCGAGGATAGATCAGTACTCATGAAGTGTACATTACTCTCCTTTGCAAGACATGCCAACCATCCTCGTGGCCGTATGGGCATCTGCATGGCCTTGGAGCCCTCATTCATCGAGGGAGCGACCTAACGGTTCTGATCACCATGCACTGGTCTCAGCTGACAGCTGACCCCAGTGATCACAGCCGGCCGGCGGCCTCGACCTGCCCACTCACCAGCATCCTTGACGAGCTGCGCGATGCGACGCATACTCTCGCTCTGGCCGGGGTACGGCTCGGCCGGGCTGGGGTTGGAGCCAGAGCCAGAGCCAGAGCCGGGGCCGGGGCCGGGGCCGGGACCGGGCCCGGGCCCGGGGCCGGAGCCGGACCCAGAACCGGAGCCAGGGCCGGGGCCGGACCCACGACCGGAGCCGGAGCCGGCCTCGGACTTGTGCCTGAGCTCGGTGTCGGTCCCGGGCTCGGTCCGGGTCGGCTCAGCGTGGTCCGGGCCGGTGGCGGCCGCCGTCTCTGGCTCGGCCGCCGTCCAAGAGGGCTTGCGGCGGCGCGAGCGGCGCCCGGCCGTGCCCACAGAGCGCATCCGCTCGTTGCAGTTCCTGCGGGCGCCAGGCGTGGCTGGTGATGGGTCGCAAGGCGACCCCCGTTGATTTAACTGTCCGTCAAATTAAGCCTTACCACTTTTCCTCCAGAGCAAACAGAAACGCAAGTAGCTCTTAAGCACGCAACAGATGCCGAGCGATTAAGCGATTTGAAAGGATTTGAGCATCGTAGAATTCTTCCTCATTGGATGGAATGCGAATACACTTTCGTTCCGAATACACGCTCCATCATCTATAATTGCAGCAGAGGGATGCGATAGTCGCGAAACTGTCTGGGACAACCTGATTGGAGGAGGGGAGACGTGATGATCCCGACACTGTCTGGGATGATCTGATTGGCGGAGCCGCACCTGTCCAGATGGTGGGTCTGCACGTTGAACCGCGCCAGCTGCTCGGTCAGCTCCAGCACCAGCTCCTGACGGCTGGGGAACTGCGGCAGCTCCTCGGGCAGTTCCAGCTCGTCGCCCTCGAGGTCGAGCAGGCAGGCGTTGGCCTGCGGCGGCGCGGACAGCGGCCGCGTCAGGCAGGCCCGGCCCGCAGCCGACTGACACCAGTCAGCTGGGCTCACCACGTGCCACACCGCCAGCCCACCGGGGGTTAGCTGGACGTCAATGTTGCGTGAAATTCAAAATACTTGGTATCTGGTTTGAAAGGTTTGGTAAAAAAAATCGCCTGCGGTGGGTAGACAGGGCTTGGTTATCACTTGTTGCCGCAGCTATTTGACAGGCGGCGTCGGCGTTGAAACAACAAACTGCTATTGGTGCGGTCAGGGAGCCACAGTGACCGTCCGCTCTCGTGAACAGGCCATGGGGCTCTACATGACCGTCAGGCTGCTCCCTATCTTAGAGCGGGGCGTGGTGAGATCACGAGACACAAACACTTTCCCCACCACAAACTGGCGCTTGCAGCGCCCTCCTTGCTGCTCAGATCCCGGTTGTCCAGGATGTCAGCCAGATCAAAAGCACCCCGTCATCCGCGGCGAACTGGGCGTCTGTGTAATGACACGCATCAGAGATTCACGGCACACACTGCGCGAGGAGGCCGTCCTGGTGCGGCCAACTGGCTGCCGCACGGAGCTGCCGAAACACGGCCCAGCAGCGACACTCATTGGCAGTGTTCGGTCTGCGCCCGCACGGCTACAACTGAGAGTGCACTTTTTGCCCACCTGCACGAAGCGCTTCTGTTCCACCACTTTTTCAGTCCAGGCCTTTGAATGGATGCACATCCAAACGGTGTTTTATTGTTAACCATTTACGTAGCCGAGATAGACCCCAAAGCATTGCGCGAATCTCGATTCACCCGAATCCCACCGCGCCTCGGGAACAGCCGGCTCCGCACCGCCCGAAGCCCGGCCGCCGCCGCCGCTGTGGCGGCCGTGGGGCCACACACACTGGGGGGTGGGGTGGGGAGGGGAGGGGGGGGGGCGATGGGGGATGGAGGGGACGATGGGGAGGGGGGCACTGACCGCGCCGTCCTGCTGGCTGGGCCGGGTCGAGCCGTGCAGGCCCATCAGGTACGGCACCGGCGCGTCCAGAAAGTGCGCCAGTGAGGCCGGCAGCACCGGCACGTACACGTGCGGCCAGCTGAAGGGGAACAGCAGCGCCGACAGCGACTCGGCCACCAGCATCAGCTTGTAGTGGTCTGCAACGGCGCCGGCTGTCCGTGGGAGGCGCCGACTGCGCCGGCGCCAGTAGGCCAGCGGCCAGCCTGGCCCAGCGGCGCGGCGCCCGCTGGCGCGCCGCCACCGGCCGCCGCACTTCACAACGGCTGCTCTGCACAAACAGACACCGCTTCGCCTCCACCAAAGCATGCCTACCCAAACGCGTTATGGCCAACTGAATAGAGCGGCGCTGTAAGCATTACGAACAAAACGGCACGCAAACAGCACACATTAAAAGGACCACGCAACGGACGGACGCCTTCACCATTTCGGCCAGCAGAGCGGGTCGCCCTGCCCGCGCCCTGGCCGGCGGCCGGCTCAAGCTCCCGCACGCGGGATCCGGTCCTCTCACCGTGCGCGTACAACACGATCTGGTGCTCGAGCAGCATGCAGGACAGGATCTGTATCATCTTCTCGACGCCGACCATGGTGAAGAGCTCGCGGAGCGGGTACTCAAACACGGGCAGTTCTGCCACGGTGGGCCGCTGCAGCACGCACTCGGCGCCCAGCAGCGGCAGGCGCGAGCTGCGCCCCGGCGGCGGCACCGACAGCCCGAACAGCAGCTGCGCCACGTACGCCTCCAGCGGCAGCGAGCTGCTGGGCGACCGTGAGTGCCTGCCGGACATCGACAAGGTCACGGTCAGCAGGCTGCTCGGCGACCGGCAGCGTCTCATGAGCGCGACGAGGATCCATCGCGTATGACGGTACCGCGCGGCTTGGTGACCGGGGAAGTCCACATAGTGCCAGGGGTGTCAGCATCTGCCACATCTCAAGTTGTCGGCACACACGGATGCCTTTGTGATGGAAGGGTCATCGGAGGCTGCGTCACATCGCATGACTCTACCATAGCGACGCGGTGGCTTGTCAAGCCCCCGGACAGCGCCCACGCCGCCAGGAGCGTCCCGACCCGAGCGTCAGGAGCTCATTCTCGCGGCAGGACCCCTGACGACTGACGAGCGAGCGGCGGTGTCCGCCGGGTGTCAACAGTCTCACGCACGGCTGCCGGGCCAATACCGGCTAGCGAACCGGTTTGCTGACGATCGGTCCGCAAATGCAGTCACCCGGCGACAGCCCAGTGCCAGAGGCTGCTCTGAAAGCTGGACGATCCACCGAGAACCGCGGCTGTAAACAGGACGGCAGCCGGCGCGCCCCATCCTCCAATGGCAGCCCCCCGCGCGCTGAGCGCTGACCCGATGAAAAGCCAAGCCAGGTGCACAACGCTCGTTGGAGAACATTTCACCTGTCAGGACGACTGGCATTCCGGCGATGCCATGCGACGTAACGCCGCAACGCGCTCACGAGCGGACTTCTTAGGCGCGTGCACCCATGATGCTGCAGTACGCACCTATAGAGGGTGCCGGTAGCGTGGTGGTTAACACGTCTGCGTTAACCACTGCGCGTCTGGGAAACCAGGGGTACGGGGTTCGATTCCCCCGGTGCCCGCCCTTCCTGCCACGGCGAGAGGCAGGTGGCGCCATAGAGCCTCAGCAGCTGAGTTCGTCGTAAAGCCCCAATCACACACGCACGCACGCACGCACGCACGCACGCACGCACGCACGCACGCACGCACGCACGCACGCACGCACGCACGCACACACACACACACACCACACACACACACACACACACACACACACACACACACACACACACACACACACACACACACACACACACACACACACACACACACGCACCTATAGAGCCGCGTGAGGAAGACCCTGGCCACCTGCAGGTAGGGCTGCATCATCAGCAGACCGATGCACTTGCAGGCGTACAGCTGGTCCTTGGTGACGTCGTAGTAGCTCTGGGCGTGCGTGGTCAGCTTGGTGGCCAGCTTGAAGTGTCGGGGCAGGGAGCGAGACGTGCCCGACTGGCCGGACGTCTGGGCGCTCGACACCTCGGCCAGGTGCCGCGACTGAGGGCACACAGGCGCGTCACGTCCGTCACGCACTGCTCCAGCCGCACTCCACCAACACGACTTCAGGGCGCTCCGCCCATGCGATCACATCGCGCCCGCTACAGAGATCCTGATCCAAGCTGTCCAGAACGACCTCGGACGTGTTATCGCGTGGTACTAGCCGCGCGGGCCTCGGTCGGACACGTGCACCACAGCCAGTAACGGGAGCACACCGGGAGCGTAAACTACAGCCAGTCACATCACACAAAACAATCCCGAAGGTATCCGGGCGCGTCCACCGTCACAAAACCGTACCACCAAAAGTATTCGGCTCACCACAGCCTGAGGCCGACAGCGACTGGCGTGCGCCGCTCACCTGCAGTGTGTGCATGACGTCACACGTGGCGCGGTCGTCGACCCGCTCGAAGAACGTGTACGCGAAGCCGTACAGTCGACTGCCATCCTCGCGCGTGACGACGAAGCTGTGGAACGCTGGTGCCAGGCTGTGCTTCTGGGTGCGGAACTGGAGACCGCGCGGCAGCGCCAGCTGAAACACAGCGGTGTCACTCGCAGAGCAGCCGAGGGCACACGCGGAGCGGCGTCATTCACACAGCAATGGAGCGCATGCAACACAAAGCTGTAGCCAGCACACTATCGGCACATCACACCGAAACAGCGGTCAGAGACACCCGCACCGGATAAATCTGCGACCACAGCCATCTGCATTTCACCCAATATGGCAACCTGAACCACGATTCGACAGCATAAAATCGCAGCCACCACACTGCACAAAACTTCGACCATAACCGCCCTCACACCTAAAAAATGAGGCCACAGCCACGAGCAGATCTTACAAAACAGCAACATCCCCTGCCATGCTACACGAAACTGTGGTCGGAACCAAAGGCAGACCGAGCAACCATCGGTACATCACCCGTGCACCGCACAAAACTGCGACCGGGAACAGTGGCGGGCCACAAAGTTGTACAAAACGCAAACCCACAGAACTATCAGATCACATATAACAAGTCGCCGGCAGGCCGCACAAACTTGACGTCATAACCGCCAACAGACCGTCAAAAGTGCGACCAGAATCACTGGCCTTTCGTTTAGCGCTGTCCACTACGACGGTTTGTAAACATGTCGCGGTTTGAAACGGCACCACAGCCGCCTAGAGCAAATGAAGACCCAAACCGAAATACGCTATGTTCACTCTATTCTGATTGTGAGAGAACAGCAATTTTTCGATAGTTGTAACTACGACTATCTAACTCTTTTTTGTTAGTCGCAAAGTATTTACAGTACGGCAGTATTTACGGTCACGGCAGTATTTAACTTAACAGGCGCCATGTCCGTCAGCTGAATTTACCGGCCCACATGGTGCCACGTGAACGATTCGCTGTCCAGTGCCGGCACTACGACAAGGCAGTGAGGGGTTTCGAGACACACCACACCGCACAGAGCTGGTCCCTCCACACCGACGCGCAGCTCGGTGTTGGAGAGGCGTCGTCACTCACCATGCGAGTGGCATCCGGGTCAAAGGACTGCTCACTCCTGGACTCCGGGTAATGGCCCAGCACCTCCGCAGCATAGGACCGCTCCAGGGGGCTCAGAGGGTACCGATTTGTCTGCAGAATAAAACGAGGGTCAGATACAGTGAGCAGAACCCACCACGCCGGGCAAACGCTGCACCAACACTGCGTGGCTGGCAAATGCTCGCTTTTATTAGTCAAGCTCATACTAGCGGTTAGTATGGATAAAAGATGGCTGAGATCAAGTAGGTGAGATTTTAAGCTGTTATAACCAGCTTTGTCTAATGCAACCCTTTGGAATGTTTGACATGAAAAATAACAACTTCATTGCAATGTTCAGAGCCCTGTGTTGACATAAGCAAGCAAAGCCTCAAACTCCTGATTTTTCATCTTTATGAGTTCACAGTTCTTATGCTCCTTCGCTCTGATTGGGAAGGAAACAAGATTCGACCCCCTCCCCTTCCCAGGGTTTTCTGAGGGTACCTCTGCGGTATGTCGTGCAATCGCGCACGAACTTTGGTGTTCTGCAAGAAATCGATTGCGTGTGTTAATACACCAAAACGCGTCACTATCATTTCTGGTTTCGGAGCAGCGGCGGTTTTGAGGGACACTACGTGGCGATACACGGTCGGCGCGGCAGTCGATGATCCCGCGGATCACACGCGGTGGGCCGACGTTGCCACGTTAACGAAGCCAGACATCATAAAAAGATGCTCAAACACACAAAACCACACACCACTGTACCAAAAAAAATTAACAGGGAATAAGTTTACTTATGTTTTGTGTTGCTTCAAAGATTGTTCTAGCACATATGAGCATATGAAGCTGAAAAGTTCGATATTTGGGAAAACTTCGCCTGGCATAATGGGGTCAATTATTGGTCTAGCAATATAATTATTGTTACCAATCACAAGATCATGTTGAAGCTAACTCAATGGTGGTTTCCGCTAGGCTCTATCTTTCATAGTTTTGAAATGGCAGTGGGGCGGGGGGCATTGAACCTCGCATTGTGAAAAACAGGTAGTCGGAGCAAGTGTTATACAATGTTATCAAGGGTAAATTGCAAATACAAACTATGATATGAACATTGGTTTCAAACTTCTAAGCCCTTAGCAAAGGACAAGTATGGTTGTGCGTACAGGCTATATGAGTGATTTAACAGTGCTCAGAAGCCACACCTTATAGGATACTCCACCAATGCCAAAACATTTGTTCAATAAAGCTGTTGTCAATGTAGTGATACACAAATTTCCTGATGAGGATGATTCTTGGTTTTCTGTAGATTTGAAAAACTTATCAGTGCTGCAACTGATCCAATGATCCAATGAATAAATAGGATGAAAATAATCATGTACCTGTGGAGGTCATACATGCAAGCAAGCAGGCCAGGTAACAGGACAAATGTACAATAGAATGGTGATCTTACCTGCAATGTAGTCATCTCGCAGCCCATTTGAATAATTGATGCCACATATGAAGAAATATTCAACCAATCTATCATTTGGCATACTCATGTTTAGCACACTATAAGCACATATATTGCTTCAACATTCTAAGCAAAACAAAAAACAAAACTGATTAAGTGCCCTGTGTATTACTTTAGTAAATCCGCAACAGCTTCAATATTTAAAATGACACATGTCTTGCTGAAGCCGAATTAGTTTCTTCAATTATGACAGAATTATCATGCTGCTCTGGAAGGTTCCTGAAACACAAATTTCAGTTAAAGCTTTATTGCATCCAGGACTTCATGCAAAACTTGTGTGTCTGACACAAGGTGCACACTTTTGTTGCAGGTGGTGTAAATGGTAGCTTAGCATGGCTGTAACCAGCTCAGAACACTACTTAAACTATAATCACAAGGGTCTCCACATAATAGTACTTAGAAATATATATCTTTCACACTAGCATCACTGTAAACAATTGAATAGTATTGTAATATTTGTTCTTTTTCACAAGATTCACAACATACATTCACTGGGATTGTTACTGAATGTCCTGCTACAAAAAATATGCCCAAGTTGAATATATCATGTACTTGTCTAACAGTCTGGGTATGATGGACACTAGAATGGTTGATTATCATTATTCTGCCAACAAATTATGCATCTGAACTGGAATTTTATGATCAGATGGTGATGTCAGGGCTCTTGCAATAGGGCCTGCCTAGCATGGGCTTCAATCCCAAAAATCCATCCCATCAAAATGTTCAGATAAATTTAAAAAAATAAAAGCACATGAAATGCCTTGTAATCACTGGCAGGTTGTTCCAAACACAAAGGAGCAAGGGACCATGACCTCTCTACCTCCAGTACTTTTTGAGAATTCTTATATATATCATATAGCATAGGATTAGAAGTGTTGCCTTCAAAAGTAGAATTGGCCCAATGCTTGACAAATGTCAAAGGTACATATTGTACAGCATATGCCTGGTAAAGCAATGATAATTTGAGTAGTAAGTCAACATTCATTTGTCATTTGATTTGTCATAAATTATTTTTGTGTAGTAAGAAACAATGACAGTAACAAAGGAGGAACAAACTGCCAGCCAGACAGCATACTGAAATTAATTATGAAATTCCCACACTTATAATGTTCTTGTACCTGCTAATTTCTATGTGGTTATGACATCATGATAGGAACCTAAAATATTATGTATGATAGAATATTATTTTCTAAATGGCATCTCAGTTTAAACAAGTGAAACCAAAAAACCAATCAGGCAGGGGCTGCTCCAAAGATTATTTGCTAGTATCCTTAATGTGCCCAATAATCCCCTCATTGTTCAGTGTTTCTTCCATTTTCATTTAACATACAACTCTAACTATGAAAGCAGACTCAAGAAATGGTATATATCTGAGCACTCAATAGTTTGCTGCATGGTTGCCAACAATACCAAAGCATTAACAGCCAATGTTTTAAGGGATTATGGTGCTGTGAAAGTAATTTTGGGCTACTATGCTTCAAAAACAATCCTCCATGCAAAGCAAAATGCAATATTCAGTACAATTCGACCAGGTATACAAAAGCAGGAAGTTAAGCACACAGTTATCACACAGGTGTGTCAAACAGTGGATGGGTTGCAGGCAGACTGTCTTACATACCAAGTCTACAGGTATTCATTAATTATGATTGACACATTCAACATTTACATTTATTTTTACACTCTGATTTGTATTGTCTTGCAAGTCTGTTTTTGTAATTCTGTGGATTATAACTCGGCAATCATAATTGGTAGTGGTGCTCAGCCTGGATAGTGGGTATTTAACAGCAAAAAATGCCTGCAATGTTTCAATACACAGGGAAATCCTGCACCACAGCAGGGCACAACGCTCACGATCATAGCACACATTCCTTGAAATGTTACACAAAAGCGGTTTTAATCGGCGCAATTCTCTCAATTTAGAAAAAATAGCGGGCACAGTCCTGTGTGACAACAATGCTGCTAACACAGGTCTATTTGGAACGCCCAGCTTGTCCCAATGCTTTCGACACAAAACATGTCTTATTGACAACTTAGCTTAGTCAGAGACAAGCAAACAGATGTTTTGGATCACTCCGGCAAGATCCTTCCCCCTTTCACGCACCTGACCCGCCCCCTTACCACTAACCTCCAAATGTTTCGCACGTAGGCTAGGGTTTTACGGCTGTTTATAATTTTGCGTCGGTTTTGCCTGAATTCAACAACATTTTGTATAAAATAGTTTCGCAGCTTCTGCAAGCAACTGGGTTGTTTCTCATCTTTAAAGGAATTGGAACCACCAAAACCACTTCCAAATTCAACGCTATAATGACATTTGGAACTTAGGCCCCAAAAATGTATTTCAAAAAGCTTAAACTTGGGAAAAACTGCAATCATAATACTTATGTGCCTGTTCTTCACGCTAACCAACCTATTCTGAAATACTGCCACAATTGAAAGTACTCCTAGCATGTATACGGATGAAGGTTTGGCTTTTGAGGTTCTGGGGTCCCAAACGCTATCTTGTCTGCACTCCATACCAGGGATAGCTGGTGCACAAGTCTCTAGACTCTGGAGGTCAATGTTGACTGGATGTCAGCTAAGGAGAGTCTTGACAGTCTGGCACATTGGGGGAGGGAAGGGGAGGGGGAGTTGCAACGGGGGAGGGAATATGGTGACGTAGACCTGCCCTCGCGAAAAGCTTTCGTCGAAGCCAAATCTATGCTCTACCCATACTGCCACAAATTTAAAGGGTCTCGTGCAGATAATTTTCATCCGCCACGGTGCGGTGCTCGAGCAAAAAATTACCGTCTCAGAATCGTGCGGGCGAACGGGACGGTAGACGGACGCCGTCCTTCGTGTACATATAGCGCACGCCCGGCTGCGCACGGTTACACCAACAGTACCAAGCAGGGGCGGTGCCACCGGTGGGGGGGGGGGGGGGGGGAGAACAAGGGAACGCGTCTCCTTCTATGGTCCGATAGCAGGGGACTGTTCCCCTATCCCAGCAACTTTCTTGCACGGGAAATATAAAATTCGCACATATCTTCATTAATAACCTCCATGTACAGTTTTTACCACGCTAAGAATTCCCCACATCGATTGAGTTGTATTGCTGAAATTACTAGTTTGGTGCCTCTAAGGCTGCTAAAGACCACTCGGTGATATTTCGTTACACTGACTAAACGCATTCCACGTCTTCCGTGTCTGGAGTTTAAAAGCCGCATAAGTAGGTTAAAGGATCACCGAATGCCTGCAACCCATGGATACCACGCATTTCACAAAGGAAGTGTTAAAACTGATACTAAACTGCCGTATACGTACTACAATGCACTATCCTGAATTCCACAGGTGCGGCTGCTGCATTTTCGTACCTTCTCGGTCAATGACCATGTCACGTGTTATCACCACTTCCAACGCTACGTTTGCAGGTGCTTTAGAACACAGACAGATGCGGCCCTGAAATTTTGCGCACTTTTTCTGCCCATGGCCCATCTCTAAGCGTTTGGCACGTAGATGCCTTGCATGCTTGCGTCATGATATGACACTGTTTTACCACGTGGTGAACAAGAGCTTCGTGGAAGTCCAGCAGGCACCGAACGGCCGCGGCGTTACTCCGCCCGGGCGCCAGCCGACGTTCAAGGTCTCCGCCCGGTCGCCATCGAAGTTGCCGCCGGACCGGCTCGTCCCGGGGGTCGACGCTCAGGACCGACGACTGCCGGCCCGGGGATGGGAGCGCATTCCGATGCTACGCGACCCACGCTACCTGCAACTCGGCAGCCTCCGGTGCTTTGCCAGCGAGGGCGCCGGGCCATGTGCCAGGCCACCTGACAGAGAAGCTCATACCTTTCCTTTCAGTGATCTTCGTCGCATGACAACACATGTTTACCAATCGTGTGAACGTGGTTTAGTCTTCGTCATCGGTTGGATATTTTACTATCCGAACAGGACAGCCAGTAGCAGGAATAAACGAAAGACAACGGAACGGTGCATGAACAATTCCAACACTCACTTCTGTGCTCCAAGAATAGTTTGAGCAATGACAATGTGAGGAACAATTTTTTATCAATTTTGCTATTATGGCTATATTCTAACGCAACATCATTATGTCTTTGAATGATCATATTTTGAAGAGTTTTGGTGGGGTTCAGTTTTGATTTGAAATGAAGATGATCTGTTTTTGGTACAATGCATATCAAGAAGTAAACAATTGCTTTTGCAGCATCATCCTTATTGACTTAACCGATGTCAATGACCTGATCTGCAATGATGTTTAAAATTGCGGACCGCATTCATTACGTCTATTACGCTGTAACATCTCGCGCATGCGAACTGTAGAGACTCCCTGACATTTCCTTCTTTCTTCTTTTCAAGCTGCTTATGACACTGTTATTCTTGGTCACAGGGAACCTGCGTATGCCAGCCGTGCGGAAACACCTAAGAGCACCGCCACCAGAGGTGCAAAGACATCCGCCCTCTTACCTTTTTCCAATGAGGACAATGCAGCCCCTCCCCCCCCCCCCTTTCTGTTCCCCGCAATGTGAGGCAAACGGGCGGGAGCCAATCCCTGAAGTCTCCAAACCAGGGATGTATTTGCAGAGACCCGGGCGACAAGGATTTTATGCTGTCGACGTCACTGATGATGTCATACCCGATAGGTTCTGCGGCGTTTGGTGCTCGTAGCGACACGGATGACAAATATTCTATTAACGTCACGCAGCATCTTTACCGTGCGTGCAGAATATTTTCCGTGACTTGATAGGAATGAGAAATGGCACAATGCATTCAATGGTAACGAGGTTAATTTGCGTGCCCAGTACTGATCACAAATGACCAAAAGTGTTGTACACGTTTAATTGCAGTTTCCGTTTTTGGGAGCACTTTGTGCTGTGATTGTGCGGGGTGTGCGCCCTCGCTCTCGCTGTCTTCCGAGCTCTACATCTGACTGGGTGCCGGGGGCGTCACGTGATGCGGCGGGGGTTAAGGGCTGGCCGCTGAGGCGGTGGCAGGGACCCGACGCTCGCAGGCACCAGTCGATTTTTGGACGAGCCGGGATGAGTGCACGTTACGTTCTTTTACAAGCTTTTTCGGCCATCATGCCCGAAACCGCCGCGGCCAGTGGCGACGCTGTGACAACGGCTGCTGCGAGTGTTCCAGCGCCAGTGATGTCGACTACTGCGACCGGAGTGGACAGAGGGGCCGCGGTGACTGGTGGAGGCCCATTCGACGCGCGACTGATCCCCGAGTACGATGACACGGCCGACGTCGTAGAGTGGTTCTCGAGGACAGCCGTGCTCTGCCCCCATCGTGGAGCAGACTTGCCCAGCACTCTGCCGGCGCGACTCACGGGTGGCGCGTTTGCCGTCTGGCTGCAGATGCCGGAGGAGGCGCGTGCATCGAGTGACGCCTTGCGTGACGCTTTCTATCACGCCTTTGCGATGGATCGGTTTGTCGCGTACGACGCATATACCAGCCGACGGCTGCTACCTGGTGAGTCGCCTGGCGTGTTCCTGGCAGACCTGCCGCGTCTCGCAGCTCTGTGCGGTGGGGGTTCCAGAAAACGTGCTCACGTGCGCTTTTGTCGCCAGCCTGCCCGACGAGGTGCGGAGGACTGTCCGCGCTGGCTCCCGGGCGGGGGCTTTGAGTCTGACTAGCATACTGTTACGAGCCCGGGCAGTGCTGAGCGACGAACGTGCCGGTGCGGCAGCGGCAGCGGCTAAAGCGCACGAAGAACGAGGAACCCGAGAGGCACGACCGGCAAGGCGACCCGCCCGGAAGTGCTGGACGTGCGGACAGGCGGGTCACCTGGCAGCGGCGTGCCCAAAACGGGCGGGGGGCTGCGGTAGCGCCAGCACAGTCTCCCGGGCAGTAGCGCGCGCTCTACCAGTCGTGACACTGCTGGTGGACCAGCGCCCCCGGCGTGCCCTGCTCGACACGGGATGTACGGACACCCTGGTTCACGTGAGCTGCTGCCCCACATGGCGCCCGTGCGCGGTCAAGATGCGAACGGTGAACGAGGGAGTGTTGCGGTGCGTGGGCACCGCCCAGGTGACGTTCGACGACAGAGGCAAGCGAGTAATGCTCGCGGCGCTGGTGGTCCCGGATCGTCCGTTGGGGTTGGACGTGCTAATTGGCATGTCTGGCATCACCGCGTTAGGAGGCATCAGTGTTCCGTCCCCGACTGACGTGCAGCTGGGTGCGGCAACGCAGGAGGCGCCGGAGTCTGCGAGTGACGCGCCGGTAGGCGGCGCGGCGGCGCCGGGCGGAGGCACGCGAAGCTCACTGGCGTTGGAAGCGGCGGATTTCACGGCTCGGTTCGACGGCGCTCACTGGAGTGTGATGTGGAAGTGGGAGCACGGACGTGGTCCCGAACGTCTGGGGAACACCGTGAGTGAATACGCTGTGCCGGCTGAAGCACGAGAGGCCTACGAGCGCGAGTTGGCTGAGTATGTGGCGAACGGATGGCTCCTGCCCTATGATGAGCAAGTGGACGAGCCCGTGTGAGGCCTGATTCCCTTGATGGCAGTCCAACAGACGCACAAGGGGAAGGTCAGGGCGGTGTTGGACTACCGCGAACTCAACCGGCATGTGACCACGCACGCCGCGGATGTTGACGTGTGCGCCGGGCAGTTGCGCCGCTGGCGCCAACATGGTGCCCGGTTGGCTGTGGTCGACCTGCTAAAAGCGTGCTTGCAGCTGCGTCTGGAGCACCGACTGTGGCCGTATCAGACGGTGCAGGTCAAGGGCCGCACCTACAGCCTCACGCGGCTCGGGTTCGGCCTCAATGTGGCGCCGTTGATTATGAAGGCCGTTGTTCAGGCGGTACTGCGCGAGAACGAGGTGATCAGCCGGGGAGTACTCGCCTATGTGGACGACCTGCCCGTCGACGAAGACGTGGTCAGCGCCGACAAAGTGGTGGAGCACTTTGCGAGGTACGGGCTGGCCTGCAAGCCGCCGGAGCGCGTCGCGGACGGAGCGCGAATGCTCGGCATTTGAGTCGAGGCTCGGGATGATGAGCTGTGGTGGTGTCGAAACAATGAGGTGCCCTCACCGCCGACCGAGCTCACCCGGCGTGCAGTATTTGCGTGGTGCGGGCAGTTGGTAGCGCACCTCCCCGTGGCGGGATGGTTGCGGCCAGCAGCTGCCTGGCTAAAGAGGCGAGTGCACGGCCTGACGATCGGGTGGGACGACCCAGTGTCGG